TTCTTTATCAACTCAAGTTGACATAAATAATGATTTTTTTTTCATAAGAAGGTAGTTAGAAATATTAGTCTCAACCTAGCTTTTTGTACGTAATACTATCTCCGATCCTTAATATAAGATCTTATTTGATTTTTATTTTGGTCTAATTATAAGACCCCAATCCACTTTGTTTCTCATATTTACTCAATTTTTTCTAAGATAATCCTTCTAATAATTATAATTATAGCTAATACACTTGATTAGTAAGGATATTTTAGGAAAGACGACATCTATTTAGGACAAATAACTAACTCAACTTACTTTCTTAATCTTCTCAAATTAGTCAACTGACTCTTATAATTAGGACCGGAGGTAGTAATTTAATTCAAGGAAGCCTGTCATACGCCCTTAGTACCAGAAAGATATTATCTACTGCTGGTGGGGGATCTACTCCGCTTACAAGAAAAAATAATTCGTTGGATTGAATGATAAATTCATTTCACTCTTTTCTGTTAAGTTTGACATTGTAAAAGAATCAATAATTAGGAAACGATAAATATAATTAGAGAATATTTAGATCCCATTTTGTATATGATTGGTTATTTTAAATATGTGTATATGGTTGCTTTAAATACATGCAGAGTCAGTACAAACTTTAGTCTATTAAGTTTTAAATAGTAAGTTTTGATTCTTTAAGTTTCTTTTCACTTATAACACTGGTCTCTATAATTCAATAAAAAATTAGATAATTTTGCCGATTGAAGGACTAAGATCTATAATTTAAAACTTAAGGGATCAAAATCAAAATTAGACAAATTCGAAGGAACAAATATTATATTAACCCATACATGTAGGTGTGTTTTGAATATATATGCGTGTGTACTTAAATGTGTATTGACTATTTTTATTAAATAAATTTAATAACGCAACGTTTTTTTGAAACCTAGGTCAAATAGTTCACGAGGCAGAAGAAAATAATGATGTTTTTATAATAAAAGTGTAAATAGGTTAAATTTGAAATATTCATTAGAGTTGGGAGGTGGCCTTATGATTCAAAGAAATAAGAGTTATTTATAAAGTACTACCTCCTCCGGTCCTAATTATAAGACCCAGTTGACTAATTTGAGGAAATTAAGGAAAGAAGTTAAGTTAGTTATTTGTAATAAATATGTATTGCGTTTCCTAAAATATCCTTACTAATCAACTATATTGGCTAGGACTATCATTATTAGAAGGACTATCTTAAAAAAATGCATAAATATGAGAGACAAAGTGGATTGGGGTCTTATATTTAGGATCAAAATAAAAGTCAAACAGAGTCTTATATTAAGGACCGGAGGTAGTACTTAGTAAGTAAGAATATTTTTGTGTCAATAATTAGATAAGATTCGTTTGGAATTGAGAATCACATGAAATATGAGTGATGCTGTTGTTAATTTGTGTTGTGACATGAATATTGGGGAGTTTGAGATGTACTAGGTAGCGATTGTTGGTAAAATTAAACAGGGTAGCTACGTAGGAGAAGAGCATGCCACCAACCAATGATGAAATGGGAGGTTGGTGGGGACGAAGGCGAGGCAGCGCAGCAGGAGGGTGATGGCTTCCCTCACCAACCTCCCCCCCCCCCCCCCCCCCCCAACAAAAGAAAAAAACCACTCAACTGCCACATGCACACATTTCGCACGTGTCAAGCACATCATCACATCACTGCCCCTGTAGTGTGGCCCAAAAAGGCAAGTTTCTAAGCTTAATGGGAACGGAGCAAATAATTTATTATTATTGCAAGTACAAAATTAGGATATGTAATTATATTTTGTATATTGCATATAATACTGACATAATATAGGACTATGGTACCATATGTAGGCAAAAAACTTAGTCTTAAATATATGATTGTTTTTTTTTTTAATTTCACGTCTGTTAAATTTAATAAAAGAAATAGGAAAGAGAAAATGTTTGTTAAAACGTATTTTTTTAATATATTTTAATGAGGACATATATAAAAAAAAAATCCATCAATAAGATACATGTAACTTACACATAAAATTAAAGTATAATATTTGTGGATGGCGCATTAATTGATCCCTGAAAGGTGATCACCGGCAAAATGTGTACTGATGGGTTTGGACATGACATTTATCATGCTACCACTGGTTATGGGAGCAACATGTAAATGCATAGAGAAAATTACTACAAAGACCCGTGGGAAAACTCTAATTACTGAGCAAAATGGAATAATGCCTTTGAAATCCCTGAGCACGTGACTGTAAATAAGTTTAGATTCAGGATCATGGGATTACCCCGATTGATTAAGAGAAAAAGGAGACGTTAAGAGAGATGTGCGTGTCTTTGACATCACCTTTCCAGTCAAGCTATTCTTCATCGTATTAGCAAGCAGAGACTGGATTACAGCAACGAGCAGGCGTTGAGGGAGCAAGGAACTTGCAGGCGGAACCATGCTTTAAGGTCAGTTCAACAATTTCTGAAGAATCAGGCCAGGTCCATCTCTCAAAATACTATTACCTCCAATCCTTAATGTCCTTAACATAAAGGCATATTTGATTCTTAATTTAGTCTTAAATATAAAGTTTTAATTTACTTTGTCTTTTATATTTATCCATTTTACTTAAAAGTAATACTTATAGTAGTTGCACATGTTAAATATTTTTATAAAATTAAAAGATAATTCTAATACACATCATTAATGAAGGTATTATAGGGAACACAACAACTATTTATTACAAGTAAATAAATCAACTAATTTTTTTAATTTTTAAAATTAATTAACTAATTCTTATATTAAGAACCCGGTATAATATTTTCTTGTTTTATAGTGGTTGATTCCAAAATACTCAAGGGCGACGATAAGGCAAAGCAAACAAAGGAATTCTTTAGGATTTGAGCTACCGGAGGTACCTATTTCTTTTATTCCATTTTAGCACTCCATTGGTTCCCCCCGTCGAATTTCTCTGCGTGATGGAGTTGATCTCAAATCAAACAAGAACAATAATTTCTTATGGTTTTTAACTTGTGAGCAGCTATCAATTTAATATGATACATGTATTTTAAAAATAATTCAAAATGTTAAATGCATTATAAAATATTTTAAAATATTAGATGTATTTAAATTTAAAAAATCTGTACCAAAGAGTCAACAATTAGTCGGGGGAAAAATAATGATCCAAAAAAGCGACGGCGAATTATCATTCATCTGCCGTGGGGTCACGGTGATGGTCCCTCGCACCGTACCGTGTTCCCGAATATGAATAGATTCACGCTGCTATTATTACTATTACTGAAAAAATTTAAAATCCAGTTAAGCTGACAAATTCATGTGTAGACAAAGTAGATCTCTTGTGCTGCGTCAGATTTGACCTCAGATCACGATGGATTTGACTATTTTTTTAATCATAGACAAAATGACATTTATGACCAATAAAGTTTTACAAGTTATTCAACGAACTTTGATGATTTTAAATTACCCACGTTCTAAAATAGCCTGAGATTCGAATTTTTAGTTAAAAAATGTTTACGTTTAGTACTATTCCTATTTTAAATATAAAATTTATTTTATAATTATATTATAAGATAAGTTTTATATTTAGAATTGAAAAAGTATCTCATAATACTTCAAATATAATTTTTCACACTAGAAAGATATCTCTACCTAAAAAAATAAATTATCCATATTGATTCTGAAAAATTACTACATATCAGGAGAGTATCATATCATCAGAATTTTGCTCAGTAAAATTTATCCAAATTCAAATAAAATGAATTCCACAAGTTGTTATCATATTCTGAGTTTAACTGTTTTTAGTAACTTCCGAATAAATCACGTGTTTTTTTGTCCCCTAAATTCCCCCATGATAGCCCCCCTTTTCCCCCACCCTATGGTTAAAAAGTTGGGGGGAAAAAAAAAAAGGCCCTTTCGCCTGGTAGAGACTAGAGATTGGAGAGCAAGGCGCGATGTGGGTAATGAAATAAAATGCGGATTGTGTGTTGATTTGAAGGTGGATTCCTCCGTCCTCTTCTCTGTGCCAAAAGAGATATACATTCATGTCTGACGTCAGATATCGATCCAAAAGCGGGAACCGATGGGTTGCCAAACTCCCGTGGAATTTAAAAACAAAAAAAACAAAAACAATTTGGCCTTTATTACTGACTACTACTTCCGATTTTTCATATAAAATTAATCGAGTAATCTGAGTAAATTAAAAAAGTAGATAAATTATTTATTTATAATAAATATGTGTTGTTTTTCATAATATATCTTTATTAATCAAATATATCAGCCATAATTACCATTATTGCGAGGACTATATTAAAAAATAAATAAATATAAAAGATAAAATAAATTAAAATATTATATTTAAAATCAAAATAAAAATCCAACGAGTTTTTATATTAAAAACTGAAAGCAATAACTTGAACAACCATAACGTTGTCTTATATTTAACTTGGAAGATGTCACTGGGCGCTTGGCTGAGTGGTATGTGTGTGTATGTGGGATGTGTGTGTTGCGGGTTCAAACCCACCTTATAACTTAAAAAAAGTAGTTAACTTGGAAGACGTTAGTTAATCGTAAAACTTTGCATTTAAGAAAAATCAAATAAAACTTGATATTGAACATATTTATCGTTACTTTAACTTACATTAATATTTAAATAACTTGCGATATACACTTAATACAACGATTTGCAGGAACACACATCCAATCTCACTGAGTCATTCACCTCCATAAGTGTAGAGTCGAGCTCGGGCTTCGGACAACGAAAGGGACGAGTTATCTAATAACCACCCTATATTCATGTTTTGAAAATATTCATCAAAAGGACGGAGGAGCTTGGCCCCTTTATCGCATAGGATTTTTATTACTATGTACCCTGTAAAGTTCAAATGATGAGTCAGGCCCGTCCATGAGCAGAACCTGCAAAATTCCAAGCCGTAAAATAATTGATTCAAAATGATGCACATGCCGCTCATCATCCTGCATCAGACTTCTGCAATTTTTTTTTTTTGGAAAATGTACATGAGATTGATTAAGAGAGCCATAGTAAGGGCTGGGATAGGGTCGAGCACACACGGCCTGCAAATTTTTTTCTTCACAGCTGGGGGGGGGGGCATGACTGATTCACACATTTCAGGGTGGGGTTAGAGGTTCATAACTTATGAGTTACAAAACTACACACGACAGTCATTTACATTTTAGCTTTTACCATAATCAACTCTAATTTGGTGAATCAAATTCAAAACTACCATCGCAGCCGATAGGATCATCAATGCAAAAGTAAGGGATTTAATGGAAAGGTAAGTTTTCTTCAAAGGTGCAGTAGCACAACTGTCACCGCTCACAATCTTCAGAAGACCAGGGCACGTGCCCTTACACATCATGCTTTCACACAGCAGTTGAAGCAGCTTAGGATGCCCTTCCTTGTCTGGCGGGAAAAAATATTAAACAAATCAGGGTGTTAAAGATGCCAAATAGCGCATACTCATATTCCGAAAGCAGATAACCACAAATATCTCTGAGACCAGTCTCTCGTAGATCTAGAGAATGAATCTGATTTGCAGTATATCAGATATAAAACATGAAATCTATAACAATCTGCATTATTTGAAAGCCATGACGAATGCAAACTCGTTCCTTAGACTTAAGTGTAGTCCACATCTAGTTCTTACTAAGACAGTGAACCTTCCACCAAAGACACACTTAAATTACGAAAGGAGCAGAAGAAGACAATATAAAATTAGAATTGCTTTATATGCAAGGCCGTCCCATTTCTAATTATAGAAAGTGATTTATAAGGAGTCTGCCGCTTTGATGTCAGCCACTTAGACTTCTTCCCATCACTTATCCTAATAAAACCACAAATAGATATAGGTCATGTTCCCCACTTTACAAATTTTAATTCAAGGCCCCATTTAGAAATGAAAAGATTGCATTTTGCCCCAGTTATTCATCCCATTAGCATAACTAGGGATCATATGCGCCTCACACATGATCTTAGGCTTTTTCAAGGGGAGAAAGACAAGCGATTTGTTTTGTTTAAAAATGTCACTTGCTGCAACAATGCATGAACTGCACCTTCGTACTCATCCTCAATTAAATAGAGAGAGAAAAAATGCTACCCTAGTGCATAGAAATTCTCTAATGTCCGCCAACTATGCATACCCTGGATTCTATTTTCTCATTGAAAGATTTTATTGTACAAAATTATCATGGAACCCGGAAACTGTAATCTTGGTCATAGCTACTGGTTGTATGGTAATGGCTTTCATGTGTCCAATATATATTAAATAGCATGTAAAGAATAAAAAGGGGACAAGAATCTTACAGTTGGAGGCTCGTGGTTTTGATGGTAGTGGGGGTGCTGGGGTTCACTGTTCCCAGTGTTGACGCTAGCAGTGGTTGAAGCCATGAGCTCTTCTTCGTTGCCAAGACTTGCCCTGGAAAGATTTGTTTTGTTCTGCTTTCTCATTTCCCGGATTTTTGAGAAATCCAGCGAGTAGTCCGGTACTTGGCCCTTCTGTTCCCAATCCCCAAACTGTGGAACCGATAGCCAAGGAGCAGTTTTCTAGAAGGAAAGAATCATTCTTTATGAATAATGACCGGTATCAATTATAGCATGAAGGATGATGAATAAATACAAGTTCTCTGTTGGGCAGATCAATCGTTTACGACCGAAAAATCAATAGAACCATTTATTGGCATCTGATTAATCCGAAGCCATACAGCAGACAAGTGAACGAACCACCAACTTTCCAAATTTTTTCATATTTCTTTTACCATAAAAAAGATTTTTTTTTATTTAAAAATTTTTTAGCTGGGAAAAAAGAATTTGCGAATAAGGGAAACATGGGAAAGAATCTAAGGGACGAAATTGACTAATTCTATTGTTTGGGAGGATTAAGATTTCTTTTGTGACTGCAACAGTGATATCATCATTTCAAAGTTTGAACACAAACAATTGGGTAATTGAACGGACAGTGAAAGAGCGTCATCATTCATCATGCCTCCGTGTACTTTTGAGTTTTGACAGATTAAAATAGTCAAACCAAAGGAACCAAAATGTTTTACCAGCGCCCAGAAAAGTAACCAAAAGAAGAGAGCCATCAAGGTTGCATGGCCCATTAACATTAAATTGAACGGCTTGATTACCCAGAAATAGATCGAAGAGCATGAACTATGCCCAGAAGAAATTAACAAGGATCCGCAGGCGGGAGTTTTCTAATAATCATTCTCAACGTATATTTTCTTTTATAACTAAAACGAGTACCATCGAACAGAGCTTTCAAATTTTATTCAAACAAGCTTTGACAGACTAGCTTGGTTCCATTTTTGAAGGTAAAAAAAAGATTTAGCTTTCAAGTGCTCTCGTTCAGGTAATTCTACTGAAACCTAGATCAGTTAGCAGTTAGGACAGATAGGAACTGGTAATCATCTCCGAAGATTCGTGACCTGAACCCGTCGCAAACTAATAATCGTCTCATTTCGGGGAATTTTTATTGGCACAAAAACACTTGGACAGAACCTCGCCAATTCCTAGCAAAGAATATAATCATCCAGGTCCTGACCTTTCTTAGCAAAAAAAACAGCCACGGAGAAAGAAAAATACTTACCTCCTTACGATCATCCATGGGGTCTAATTCAAATCCACTGAAGTGCTAGAATATTGAAGCAGAGCAAGAGCAAGCGAGGAATGCTTGGCTTAGTAACGGTGCAGCACAAAGGAGATAAAGCCGGATGCTACTGATGATGATATTGCTGCCTACACAAACTACGCCACACCACGGTGACCATATAAGAGGATTTTCGTTCAGTCAATAAAATAAAAGATTGGGCGGTCTGATGCGATATCTCGAGAACTGGGAGGCCCTACTTTTTTCCCCGGTAAATTATTGGACCCAAAGCAGTCGCTTATTATTATTATTATTATTATTTTCGTAATTTTCGCGTTATTATTAAGGATGAATCAGAAATAGATTCTTGCCTTGCTCATTGGCTATCAGAGAATGTCGACATCTACGGAATTATAGGACATTGTACAATCACAATCCACTGATTAAATAAAATATGCAGCGGATTTTTTTTTTATGAAATAAATTACGTTTTTCCTTTTTTGCGTCTCGGAATCCTGAAACTATGCATAGCTCTAGTACTCTAACTATTGGGAACAGAGAAAGTATTGAAGAATACTATGTTGGATTGGAAGATAAGTGGGGAGGTTGTTGGGGACTTAGGATGAAAATGCCTAAAAAGACTGAAGATGAGAGTAAAAAGCGTTTGATTTGTGATGTGCTTTGTTTGACCTTTGATTAATTTACAGGATGATTGAGGGCCAGCATCAAAAGTCAAGCACGATGCGCCAGTGGAAGAAATGAGGGGGAGGCAGCCATGAAAATAACAGTGACCAAGCTTTCAGGAATATATCTTGTCCCCCTCAATCATTCGTGAAAAAGATTATAATGAGATTGTAAAAAAAAAATTACCACTAAATTTAAGTGACAAGTGAGCTGCTTTGAATATTTAAAATTTGTTATTACAGCCTGTTTTATTATTATTAAGATTTTTAGTAATTATGTTTTTTGTTTGAGATTTTATAGCAATTACCCTTTATTACCATCGCTTTATCAGTGGACCAGCTACAACTACTTTCTTCACCTTTTTATCCAAAATTCGGCTAATCCCAACATTGTAACAAAGTAACGAACTGCCTTTTTTTGTTTTTCAGATAAAAACTTTCAATCCCATGTCAACAAAGTCGCGCTGCTTTTGAACTCATTTTTCTGTTAACTAATTTTGACGCAGTACTTTCATTCATTTTAGTTTTTGAAGATAATTTTATCTTTAAAAAAATTCATGATTTGTTTGCCTGTAGCCAAAGTGACATGTTGGATTTTGACCTGTGTGTTGTTTTTTTTAAGATTTAAAAATCTTGACGGTCAATTTATTTATAAATGATCTGAGCGGCTACTAATTTCGTGGCATGTGAAGAAAGGACGGTGCCTGCATGACAGAACGCTTTCGGCCGATCAATTTGTTTTACTTACTTGTGTGGTTTTTGTGGCCACAAATTCAAGAGCAAAGAGTTATTATGTAGTTTTTTGTCCCATCGGATCTTCGTTTTACGATTACGGGAAGAAATGCTTGGCCTGAAACACAGTTCTTTGAAAGTATGTTTGGATTAGCAGAGAAAAGTTTTTTTTTTAATCTGATTTTTGTAAAAATTATATTAGATAAAAACTAGATACTATGATGTTATTTATATTTGGATTGACTTTTGTCAAAAAAAATAATTTGAGAAACTGAAACTTATTTAGATAATTAATAAAAAAATAAGTTTAGATATAAAATGATTGAAAATGGCATAAATTTTATTATATACATTATATATGTATAATGTGATAATTTTAAGAAAATATTAAAATCAAAATTATAAAAATCAAAGGATTTGATGTATTATTGAAAAAGTTGTAAAATATTTCTTATTTTAATTATTATTTCTACATTAACAAATAAAAATAACAACCAATAAATCTGGATAGTATGGTAATTTTTCATGTAAATGGCACTTCTTTTAAGGTAAAAGAAATGATATAATTCTCGTCACATGCTGATGCATTAGAAAAGCTATAAAAATGATTTCAAGTTAAAAATCACTTCTTTTTATGAAACTTTCTTTTTTTCCAATCGTGATCCCAAACAAAAAATTTTGGTCAGAGGTTATTTTTGCCGGTGAGAAGTTAGTTTAGGATCTCAAAACGTAATTTCACAGACAGTCTAAGAGGGTGTTTGACAACCTCTAAACCATGGTTTCAGAAATACTTTTTTGCAAAACAAGGTAAATTCTTCCATATATTTACTTCGTAAACCATAAAAGCACTTCTAAAATCATAGTTTGTTTTATATCCAAACATTCCCTTAGATCCTCGAATCTAAAAAATTGCAGCTTTATTTGGAGAAGTGTCTTGCTGCATATATCCTAACAACCGCGTGTCACGCGGCTGTGTGTTTTGTTCAAGTTACCATAACTATACAGAAGCATCCTTCTCATACGATTGCAAACATCATGGCCTAAAAAGCTATGTTTTTGCTTGTCTTCGATGGTACGTTGAGCTGGTGAGAATTCTATTGCAATTAGATCCAAACAGGAAAAAAAATTAATTACTCTAAAATCTCAATAACAAGTGACTAGTAAAAATTAATTGTTAAATCACATAATAAAACTTGTCATTGCAAATTCTTTAAATTGTCAACAAACTTTAAAATAATTAAATCTTTTTATTGAGATTTGACTACAACTCCCCTTAATTTTTTAAACTTCCTTTGCTCTTACAAGAGACTGAACAAAGACCAAAATCTTTATCTTTAATAAACAAAATATCAATATAATTATACGGTTAAAATCAAACTAGATATCATAACTATAATTATTCACTGCCGTATCCTAAAGTCTAGTTTAATGCTACAAGTTAAACAGCGTAGATAAGTTACATCATAGACTTTAAAAAAAGTTTGATAAAAGAATCCAACATTTCATCATAGACTACACCAAACTGGGAACTGGGATCACCCAACACTGACAGAGAATGCCTCTAAAACAATGAAAGAATCGACGGACCCGCTTACAATCAGAAAAATGATATTTCAAACAAGACACCCAACTTCATTCCTTCAAGAATACTACACGTGTATAATGTTAGCAGATGTTTGATTACCATTATACAGAGATTCTCAGACATTAATATCCGACCGCCTTGTTCTGGAGGCAGCACTGATTTCTGAGGAACCAGACAGAGAAAATCTCGGGAAGCTATGGTTTATAGAAGACGAGACTGGCTGTTGAGGATAAAGGGTTGGAGGTGGAGTCAGATTTCGTTGAGCCGGAAGGGGAGGAAGTGTGTTATACTTGTAAGGATCACCGATCACACTGCAGTTACCCGACATAAAAAAGAGGTGGTGAGGGGCTAAGAAAGTAACACGTGCCATTTATACAACTTTGTCAATAAGGATGCACTACATGGAAGATAATTCTAGATATGATTCTACAGCAACTGTTCCACAATTGAACCAACCCTTTGATCTGTTTTAATAGCGAATGAATGTGAATCTACCCTAAACTGAAAATTGAAGATCAGGTGAGCATCCTCCTCCAAAAGAAATTCTATGAGTAAGGCATGATGGCGATGATAAATCACTGCGGCTTCAAATTATTCAGTAAGCCAGGCCTAAATACCTTTTATTAAAGGATTGATAATCATCGTCTGTTGAATCATCATCTAGACGTTGGGGAAGTCTCTGAACTGGTGAGGTACACCATGTAGACACAGACCATGTATTTGGTGTAGCCACTTCATCTGAAAAATACCTTCTCCTGATCAACTACCAGGAAAAGTACCAGTAAATTTAGAAGCTGCTCAACAACATAAACAAAAAATAGAAATATTGAGGGCAATATTCACCATTCGGAAAAAAGTCATCACAGCTTCCTTGTCATACCTCGCTTCTTTTGCAGCCTGCAGACGTCCAACATATAAATAACCCCAGGTATAAATAAGTTCAATTCATATTAAAAACTATTCAACAGAATGCAAAACGTACAGACTTCTACATCTAGTGTCCACAAATGATCTATGACATCATCAGAATATCTAGTACTGGAGGATTTGAATTAAGTGCAGTAGAAATCACGAATCTCCATTTCGAAAAATTTCCAAAGCTCACATCACGGCAGCCAACTTGTGATTTCAAGTCGTCATTATAAGAGTAACCACTCAAGGAATTACCGCTAAAACAGAAAGGGAAGTGATAATTTTAATCCATAGCCCCTGTGGACTATGGAGCACCAATACACATATTCGGCAGGCCTAATGGTACCAGCACAACAGCATGGTTACAATAAGTCTACCCATTCTTCAAGTGCAGTCATGAGAATCATCCAGGTATGACTACATAAAAAAACTCTAAAGTTTTCAAATTAACAAGCAATAAACATTGACCACAGATTATTACACCTCGTTGTGATTATAACATAACAGTTAAAGTAGGTTTGTTCTTTTAAGCTTAGAAAGAGAGAGGAGAATTCTAACAAGAAATACTAATATGTAAAATAGTTTAGATGAGACTCTCACAGCAATAAGGCCTCCATTGCCAGGAAAACTCTCAGTCAAAGGAAGTTCCTCACTGGACGGAAGCAGACCCTGCTTCTCAACCCACTGGCGTGCAACATCAACTAGATTCCCACTGCTTCCTCTTGTACCCTCTTTTGCAGCAATATCAGCTTTGTTACCAACAACCATATATGGCACAGGAAGACCACAAGGTCCAGCAGATCCTAAAGGAGCTGAAAACGTGCCAGTTGCAGCAATCTCAGCTGCCCAGTTCTGCAAACTAGTCTTTGTTCTCCTTTGCGAGAGATCATGAACAAAAATTACACCTGCAGATGAAGTTCGAACCATAATCCATAGTTAAAATAATCACACAGCCAAGTTATAAATATGTCCTTACAACTAAGACTTCAATAATTACTAGTGAATTCAAATTTTAGGAAGTTCCTGTACATTAAAATTTAAAAGGCTACTAAGAAAAGTCATAAGGTAGCTACTAAGCAAGTAGTCTTAGGCTCAAACCTCTCCTCAATTTGAGAAACGATAAAGCTATTAAGGATAAAATTAATGATAGAAAATAATGGGAAGAGATGCTCATTGAATAGGTAAGATGAAGGCTGAAAACTCAGAACAAAGGTTTTTTTTTTTTTTTTTAAACACCAAAAAAAAAGACTTAATCATTGTCCATTTATTTTAAGAATGTGAAACAAGAAACAAAGCCAACAAACGTTTATTCAATTGGCACTGATATGGGGTTCAAATTGTGAGGGCATAATTGATGGGTCATGTATCTTTGTAAGCATTTGCCGAGTCGCAACTCTCAAGACTCAACTTACTTAAATATCTTAGTTATTTGAAAAAATAAACGTGGTGAATATCCAAGTATAAAATCTTTTTGCTTATTTTCCTGGACTTTTCACTAATGCCTGATTTTATTGAACACATAACTATTATAATAAAAAAGAGGATCGTTGCTCACCATTAATCTGTGAATAAAACAGAGACCGGCAATCTTTGTACCGTTCATGGCCTGACACATCCCAAAGTTCAACAAAAAAATCTCTCTGAGAATCACCTTTGAGGCTACTTGAAGAGCTACCAGAATTCCCATAAGCAGTGTGCTGCGGAAAAATAGAGGAGACTAGGTGACAAATTCAACTACAGCAAAAAGATGCGTTTTGAGGAGTACAAAGAGATTGGGGTGTCTTTACCTGTACGCCAACAGTACAACCAATTGTCTGCGGGGGGTGAGTGACGGGAGAACCTTTGACAATAAGGTGAACCAGAGAAGTCTTCCCAACACCTGCCAGAATATGAAAATATGATATATCTGCAGCGAAGTTCAATATGCAAAGATGGTCGAGAGAAAAATCAAAGAGACAAAGCAGGACAAGAAAACATGTGGATGAAAAAATCAATTATATTCTTCGCAATCAGGCACATGCAAGCCTATGATCTTGAAATTTAGAAAACAGCTTATTCCCTCAATGTACAATTTTGATAAGCTATTCTGGTGTTCTTGGACCAAGTGATGCAAATAAATAGAAAACATAAATATCTTACTGCTGGACAGGCACATTGGCAGTTTAAAATCAATCCAGTTAGACACCATATGCCAACAAATGTTCACATATATACGCAAATGATCGATAACAGAAGCAACTTGATTTTGTTCACCCTGCATAATCCAAGTCTTAATTTTGCGCCTCCAGCCAGAGCAAAAATTCGGCACCACAACAACACTAAACGTACAAAACTGGGAAAGACCATCATCAGATACAATAAGAAGGATTATGTACCTGAGTCTCCAACAACGAGCACTCTGACCTGCCCGTATGGCGGCCCGCCGTTTTGCTCTTTGCTCTCTCTATTACGGTCCCTTCGGAACATGCTTTCCCCGAGACCCTCTTCACGGAATCAACTCCGAATAAAACAACAAAGCCAAAACTCAAATGCTTTCTCTACGGGCCGACCATAAAAAATATCCGATCAAGCTGCTGCTTTAAACTCCACGAGAATGAGCAATTTCTCAACATGTAAACCAAAGCTTTTCCAATAAACCCCACATCATGTGAGAATTGCGCCAAGATCCGAGCAGAAATCTGACAGTAGGTTATTACTCATCTCTGAAGAAAACGCCACAATCCACCGCATCTGCCAGAAATCTAACCACTTCGCCAACTGATCTGAAAAAAAAATCTATGAAGCGGGTATCTCAGAAATGAAGTTGACAGCGAAACTGAAAAATAAAGCTCGAGAAGTTGATGTTGCTCGAAGTTATAGATGGAGTTAAGCAAACAATGATCCCCAAGATCCCCCAGAATGATGGAATATTGCTGATGGGTTGCCGAAGATTGTTACCAAATCCTGTTTCTTTCTTTCTTTCTTTTTGGTCAGATGCCAAATCCTGTTTCTTTTTTTTTTTACTTTTTTTTTTTGGTCAGATACCAATAATCGGGCAAAACAAAACCGGATAAACAGTAGGCAAAGGAGTGCACGATGTTCGGTCTAACAGCGTCTTTCCATAGTTCCAGTGGATGTGTTCGGCCCTTTATTCCGACTTAGAGGTGTTTGGCAATATGAAAACTATGGTTTCATAAGCATTTTTTTGTAAAACGAAGTAAACTCCTTCACATATTTATTTCGTAAACCGTAAAAACACTTCTAAAACTATGGTTTGGTTTCTATCCAAATACCCTTTTAGGGTGTGTTTGGGTGACATCCCAAACCATGGTTTGTCAAAACCATGGTTTTGGAAAAAGCAAAATTTTTTTGCTTTTGGAGAAAAAAGGAGAGTGTGAGGGCCTATATGATATGTATCTTGTTATTTTTTTTATAAACATATTTTTTTATAAATATATTTAATCTTATATTTTATAAATATATATACACATTAATTATTTATTAATTATATTATCTTATGTATTATTAATTATGTTGGTAAAAAACATATTATTCACAATTTTATTCCTTCAAATTAAAATATATCATAAAATCTATTTTTTCTGTAATTATCATATTAACTTATGTCTTTTTTTTAGTAATTTGTGTATATAAAAAGTGCTTCTGATAATAACTATCCAAACACTCTCACTTCTCAGAATCACTTTTTTACAAAATCTATTCTTCACAAATCTATTTTCCCAGAATCTATTCTCCATAATCACTTTTCAAACCACGGTTTGGTTTCATCCAAACACACCCTTAGTTGGACTTCGTGGACCATGTTAGTGGAGCAAGAAACGCCCACAAAACAGTTTGATTACCCACAATCCGACCCAAAATCATAGAAACCCAATAAATTATTGAGATCGTCAATAGGACCAGAGTAACGACCTGGGCCCGTCGCTTTTAGCCTATGGTTTCAAACAAAGCTCTGGGCTTTTTTCGGCTTGTGGTCATTGGTCAGCAATGCATTGCTGGGCAACATTTGATAATTTGGGCGAATAAGATTTGCGATTTTGTTGGATGCAGCGTCCACGCGACTGTACGCGATCTGAATCCTCAAGACATCAATGTTATACAACTTCGTTCTCTATGTTTGGCTGTCTCCGTCAGTGTCATTTAATAACAATAGGTTGCTTACTAATTAATTATCACTTAATTCCTTCTTCAACGAAAACCAATAACTAAATTTTATTTTCTTAGAAAGGAAAGAAAATTGAATAATGGAGGACATTTTGTTTGATGCCACGTAAGTGATATTCCACTATCAAGATAAATGTCACATATCTAAATCAATCGTCTCGCCGCGGTTCGCCTGTTCTCAATTGTTTTGCCTACTCTCCTGAAAAGAAGAAGAATACCATGTGTGCCTGTGGCTTAATTTGGGCATGGATTTATTTCCCTTCTAGCGTACGTTACATGAGAAAATAGAGTTAAGGTGCATTTATCATCTATCCAGTACTTCAAAATATTTTGTAATGCATTTAATACCTCAAAGTATTTTTTAGATACATATTGTCTCGGTGCTGAAGGCACAAAAACATTTTTAGATGCTGAATGCACCTGAAAAAAATATTTCAAGGTATTGAATGCATCTGATCAAATATTTTGAGTGCTGAATATACCTTAATCCTGAAAAAATAATCAGTCTTAATAACTAGAGTTGGGCTTACTGATCCTTGTACCAATATACAATAAGGAATCGTATTCGTATCATAAGATATAAGTCTGGCAAAACTCAGCGGCAGTATATCTGTGGAAACTAGCTAGCTAGGAAGATCAAGAGTGGAAGGGCCAAGGGTTAGGATGGACGACGAGGGAGGAGAAATAGGTAGCACTTGGGGTCTCGTGGTTGTGCCTTCCTTCATAACTTGTTATCACGTAACTCGAATCATTCCTGTCCCTTTCCACCCTCTTCTTCACACTGCATCCTCCATACGAACACTTGTAGTAATTCCTGCGTTATTCATTCCCATCGTCGTATCAAGATTCAATTACAGCTTAACTACTAATGGATACAACAAATTCAACATGATAAGCATTTAATCATAACGCATACACAGATTATTGCCACGTAAATTAAGATAATGAACCAACATGCTTTAATTTGTGTGTTAATTAGCAACTTTTTAATTACCAAGTTCGAGTAAATATATTCACGAGTTTTAATTCACCGTAACATCATGCTTTTCAAACTTGCATAAACAAGGCAGTACAACTAATCATTGATGGCGGCTGTTTAATTATAAGCCATAAGGTGAAGAAGGAAGCAAGCTAGGGATCAGTCAAGTTGGCAGAAAGATCACTATCTGACAGACACACCCATGTTCACAAATAGACACTACAATTGTCAAAAACGAATCCATCAATATCAGACATCATCTTGATTGCTTCATCAAACGATCGAACCCCACACACATACATAATGCACCCGGAAGATAGTTAACTATATAGATCAGTTGCTTAAGAGAAAAATAATACACACACATATGCAAACCAGCTGGGGTCCATGATAGCACTCCCAACCATGAGATCCCCGAGCCACCATAAACTATATATAATCAGCCGCCGGAACATTTATCCACTGATATATAATTAATTCTTTCGGATATTAATTCGATGGTGAGTATTTTGAGCCTCTAGCTGCGGATCAATTTGTTTAGTGAGTTCACCCGTACGTGTCTTCATTAATATCAGTTCTTTTTTTGACAAGATAAAACATTTAATTAGTATATGTAAATTTCCTTACCGCGCTCAAGAGAAGAATGAATTATTAAGGTAAATATTTACCAATACCTTGGATTCGGGCTGTTCTTCACTGACTTCTTTCCGTACTTCCTCCATTTGTACCCGTCATCCATAACCTCAAGCTCCGATCTGGTTCTAAAGGCGATCCTTCGACTCATCTCTCCCTTGTCTCGTTTGATCTCGTTTTTGCACTTTCTGCACAAAAATTATAGATATATCCAACATCTTATCTTGCCCACAAAATAAAAGAATATAAGTATTGTATATATGAACAAGAAAGAAGAGAGAAAAGGCTCTTGCATGTTATTATTCTTGGACGAGGTAGCATCAGCAGCACCACTAAATCCACTGGCATCGCTAATTGCCTTCTCTGATGATTCTGTACTGCGTGACCAGGATTCTGGATTCCCAGCGCCATTATCAAGCTCCAAATAATCCGAAAAGAACTGATCAGATGGGGATGGATTTACGGCGGAGAATTGTGAGCAATTAGGGCTGGGAGTAGTGATAGGGTTTCCAGAATAGTAGTCCATTTTTGCAAACCCAGAAACTAAGAAGAGTCAATAATGAAAATGGACTAAAGAGAAGGCATATATTGGCTTCTTTGTGACTGTTAGGTTGGCTTCGGCGTGCTGCCAATGGATATATTTAATTAATATCTGACAAGAAACTAAAGGTCTTTTTTACCCTCTTATGTTGTTACTTGGAAGTATCCTTGGCCAAAAAAAATTCCTGGAGGGAAGCACCAAGGTTCTTGACTGGTCCACGTGGACACCAAGGCTACGCCATTGATATGACGTAAGCATCCTCACTCAAAATTTCGTTTTCTTCCCAAGACTTCAATGTTTTCTAGATGTTAAGCGTCCAAATAGACGTCAGCCTCATATTATTTACAACTTATAAAAGTATAATATATTCCATAAATTTTATACTATACTTTATCTAAATATCGTCAAGTTTGGGTGAAATTCCATTATAATGTGTGGATTTTTAAATTTCTCAATCTCTCTTCATCAAAAAGGCTTCACCTTTCGTTATCATAACTATATATCTGTTTGTTCCACTCAAATTTTGTATGAGGTTTTTTGATTATATCATACATTAATTTTGAAGTGGCTTAATGACTCGTTACTATATAAAGTGATTTCAGATTTCAGTATTAATCTCTACCGTCGCATATAGCTTAATCACCGATCCATAACACTAATTAACACCACCCATGTGGCTCTGGCAAACGCTTTTGTGAAAGGGCCACTTGTTTTTTACTATATATGATAACGCACTCTCCGATGAGTTCACCATATGATATAAGTGCTTTGTATGGCTTTGTCAAAACTTTAGTTGATTGATCGTTAAAAGAAATGTAATTTATGAATCATCAGAGAATTGATGCTCTCTGGACGAATAAATCTAACTTAGTAACCATAAAAATACGAACAATATATTGATCATTATCTTGGAGATAAGGTTCCTCGGGGCTTTTTCGGTAGGGCCAAAAGTAGAGTTCATACTTCAGGTGATCAAAACTAAAGTTCAGTTCATACTAGTTGGCTCTCTCTTTTTGCCCTTTTAAAATGATCTCTTCGGTTGGTAGGACTATAATAAAGAGAAAGGTGACATGATCCTGATACGCAACTCGTCCTTTGATGTTATTACTATTACTTTTAATTTCAATTCGACTGTTAAAATTCCTAAGAGGTGTTGGGATTCTCACTCCGTATAAGAAAAATGGTCCATAACTTGGTGAATGGAACAATTCCTTATAATTAAGAAGCAGCGGTATGTATGTTAGTATAAAACTAATATTAAGAATTTAAAATTCTGGAAAGAATGAAAGGGACGCCCACTTTCGTTTTCAATAGTTGGGTACTGCTGGTTGATGAGTGGAAATTGAGGTTGCTGGAGCTAACTGGATGGAACCAAGTAGAGAGGGAGACTGCTAATAAAATGATGACGTGAAATTGCAAGGAAATAGGTGAGATGATTTGAACAATGACTTGATCCTCAAAAATCCGTCCAAATACAAGGAATATGGAGTTTGCCTCTCAGAGATAAACCCTGATTGGGGATAGTAACCCTGGCTGATAGAAATTAGAAAGCCATAAATCTAACTGGTTCAAATTCAAAGTCCTCCCTGAAAAAAAAAAAAAGGAAAAGAAAAAAAAACGAAGAAAAGAAAAGGGCGGCATGAGTTCTTTGTCGTGAGGAGAGTGTTAGAAGCCAGCAAGCAACTTGGTCGACCAAAGTGGGAACCTTGTATAGCTCCCATTCCGTAACTGCCGCTGTTATGCTCCTAAAACTAACTTTTTTACGTCCATCTGGCCTCCACATTATTACTGTTATTATTTTAAAAATAATACATTTGTCTTAAACAGATGTATGCTTCAATAATTAATCTGAAATTTAAAAAAAAAAAACACGTTAGCATAGTTTTTTTTTAAAAAACCAAATTAAAAAAATGCGCGCCCACCTGCCAAATCTACTAATCTAGAAAAGATATACTTCCTCCGATCCTTAATATAAGACTTCAGTTGACTTTCATTTTGGTCCTAAATATAATATCTCAATCCATTTTGTCTCTCATATTTGTATATTTTTTTCCAAGACAATCCTTCTCATAATATTAGTTGTAGCCAATACACTTTATTAGCAAAGATATTTTAAGAAAGATAATACCTATTTATTACAAATAACTAACTTAACTTATTTTTTTAATCTTTTCAAATTAGTCAACTAGCTCTTATAATTAGGATCGGAAGTAGTATATGACTAAATTGCAATACATTATCAATAATAATAATAATAATAATTATTATTATTATTATTATCATTATCATTATTATTATTATGAATACTTTCTTTCTTTTTTGTGCTTTTCGTCACACATGGTTCATGTACTTCAATCAACAGTTAAAACATAAACTGCAAGCCCCAAGTTTGAATGGCAATTAAGGTAAGCTTTCACTTGTAGACAATTCAATTTCTTACGGATTATAAATTATAGTTGATTGATTGATATTCATGGTTTAAATCCTTATTTATTTATTTTAATGCAACGAGCAAAAATTCCTAAAGTGTTTGCGTGAAATCAAAATCATGATTTTAAAAATATTTTTATGATGCATAAAGTAAATATATAAAGAGTTTATTTCATTTTATAAAAAAATACTTTTAAGAAACACTTTTGGGTGCTTCCAAACACCTTGACAAGACTAGTTATTGAACACCATCGATCGTGATGAGCTGCCTTTTAAGTTTTACCCTGCATAGTAACATCTTAATACGTCTCTTTCTGGCCCTGGACTAATTAATCTATTTTGTCCCCCTCTCTGATCCCTCAGCTTAATTCCTGGTCAATGGATACTGTTTTGCATCACTGTTAATTTAATTAATAATTAAGGAAATCACGAGATTGGATTTCGACGCACGGCAAGGGAAAGACAAAAGGGGCTTCCTCGCAGCTTCTCGATCCACTTCTTCGTCAGTCAATTACTTAATTAATTATATAATATATTAAAAATAGACAATTGAGCGGTTCCCTTGATTTGTTCTCCAATGCCAGACAACTTTGCACCTTTTTACCATACTTAAATTGAGCCGCCGCCTAATCCTTAGGTAAGACCATTCCTAAAAGAGGCCGTCCCTTATATAATATCCTTAATATAAAAGTTAGTTTGATATTTAATTTAATTCTAAATATAATATTTCAATTCATTATATTTTTTATATTTATCTGCTTTTTTTAAAAGTAGTCTTGATAGTATTGCATATGTCAAATGATAGTTCTATTTAATACACATAATTAATAAATAAAACTTATTTATTACAAATAACCAACTTGACAAACTTCTTTAATCTATTCAAATTAGTTAACCAGTTCTCATATTAAAGATTAAGGAAGTCATTAGTTTCGAATGGAACAAAGAAAATGTGTGTGTAATTTACATCTCCTACTCACCCTTGTCTAGGATCTTGTCCTTTTTATTGGTCACGTATAGGTATCTTTTTATTGGAAGCAATTTTATTTGAGACGCTATCATACAGTAAATGTGAGTATCTTTTTCAACAAAAATTTGAATCTTAATTTACTACTTTGTGAGAGATTAAGCTTTTTTGTTTGTCTCAAGCCTTGTTGGTGAAGATCTTGTCCTTGTCACCACGTGAGCGCGTGAGATCTGGTGTATACCCAAAACTGCCCATTCTTAACTCTCTAGTGGGCTTGGTTGACTTGCCTCACAAACACTAAGTCCGGGTTTGGGCTCCAATGGGTTTGATTGGGCCAAAAGAGGCCGTCATATCTACCATGCGTCCGTCGTCGTCGTCATCATCTAAATAAATCAACAAGATGGGCCTCCAACGTGAAAAATCAAATTGCCCGTATTGATTTGCTCACATTTAATGCTTAACACTATTTCAGTCAGTTTTGCGGCATCTATGCCTATAAAAATCATTTAAATAAAATAATAATGGTAATTATCCAGGTAATTTGGCATACGATGTATGTGACGTCAGGTTGAAGGAAGGAGAAAAAGCTAATGGAGTGAGATGAAGTGATGAATTTAAGGACAGGTTTAGTGAGGGTGAAGCTGTAGATAGGGACGGATATGAAGGAGAGGGAAGCACGTCTACGTGGCCCAACTTTGGTGTGGGTGAATGCGAAATACCTGGCTGGCACTCCTATTCTGTGTTGCTTTTGGTTGGCAATGCCTCTCAATCACATGCTTCTCCTGCTGCATCATTCAATTCGACTTCTAAAACAGCAATAAAGGCAACTCTTTCATTAGTCTTTACCTTAAACTGCACCACGTCAACTAACAACATCCTCCATCATGCCCAATCCCCATCCCTTCTCTCTCTCTTATATACCCTTTTGACCTCTTGTCTCTGTTACTATATCTCTCTTGTTCAACGGTTGCTTCCCAAACAGGTAAAAAAAAACCGCAGGAAGAAAGCCGTTTCTGGGTCTTGCTCATGGACATTTCCCACAGGAACAGGACTCTGCTCAAGGTCATCGTCCTCGGCGATAGTGGGTATGCATCATTCCTCTTTCAAAGGTTCTCTGTTCATACCAACGCAGGATTTGAACTTATCCCCTTTCTCTTTATTTTCTTTTCAGGGTGGGAAAGACCTCCTTGATAAATCAGTATCCATTTACACACCCAATGCAACTTGATAATTTGAACTCGGAATACAATCTGTGTCAGGAGATTAGGACTACTCTTTCCTTTTCGTTTCGTGACTGCTTCTGGAAATGAAACAACACAACATTTTGGCGCATTAATTAGGATTGTTTAAAGAGGACTAATATCCCAGTTAGTGTCAAACTCCCTTTTAATTTTTAACATGTCTGAGTTTGTGGAGCTTTAACAGCCTGTTCAGATACGTCTATAAAAAGTACAGCCCTCAATATAAAGCCACCATAGGAGCAGATTTTGTGACCAGGGAAGTACAAGTGGGTGACAAGCTAGCGACTTTGCAAGTGAGTTGCTTATTTATTCTTCTCTTTCGATCGGTGCTGACGCATATATTCTCGTACGTGGTAAAATGATGAAGAAAATGGTATGGCAGATTTGGGATACTGCAGGGCAGGAAAGGTTCCACAGTCTAGGTGCTGCATTTTACAGAGGAGCAGATTGCTGCATTCTTGTGTATGATGTCAACACAAATAAAACCTTTGAGACCCTAAACAATTGGCACGACGAGTTTCTTAAACAGGTCAGTCCCCTTGCTGTCTGTTTTCATCGTTTTGGGTTATTAATTGGCTGTCTGATTGTCGTTGGTGGCATTTGACTTGTACAGTCAGATGCGAACAATCCTGAAGGATTTCCCTTTGTACTACTTGGCAACAAGGTTGATGTAAATGGTGGACAAACTAGAATGGTAAAGGCAAAAAAAAAAAAAAACTTGAATTCGGTTTCTTTATTTATTTATTTTTGGTGAACGAATTCGGTTTCTTTAATGTATGAGAAATAGTCATGTTTCTAAAGTAGTTGTCAAGTGTTCATCGCAGGTTTCTGAGAAGAAAGCTAAGGAATGGTGTGCTGCCAGGGGGAAGATGCCTTATTTTGAGACCTCTGCTAAGGAGAATTACAATGTTGAGGAGGCATTCTTATGTGCTGCTAAAACCGCACTGGAAAACGAGCACGAGACGGAAATGTAATCTCAGGAACCAACCTCACTTTCAATCAATGCCTATCATTAGTAACTCAACATCTTATAATACAATTATTGTATTATGTTCGTTTGATTGTTTCTGCAGATATTTTCCGGGAATCTCGGAAACCGTATCAGAACCAGAGCAGCAACGAAGTGGTGGCTGTGCGTGCTGAGAATGGAACCCTGAATATTTTATTCTGTAACTTAGAGGGTTAAGGATTGGTCATGTTTTAATCCCAGAATAAATTAGTATTAATCAAACTCAACAGCAACGTTCGAATGTGTTTTAACCCCAGAGAGCGTTAATGGAGATACGAAGGTAGTGAAATGTTAGGTGGCATGTCAACAAACATAAAAGTGCGACTCGTGATAGAACGTGAGTTGCTGCGGTTGTGTTAGGTGGTTTGTGGATAACTTCATAACCCACCTGTTTTCCTTCGTCTCCTTTAATAATGATCCGTCAATTTTTTGGTGTTCCGTGTATTCATTTATTAACCTCTTTTGTCAGAAATTTTTATCTGCATTTAATTTATTTTGCTGTTTAATAAAATTTAATTAAATTATAAATATGGTTTATAGGTGCGCAACATTTTATTATTTTTAAGAATATGATTAATGTACAATCGTTTTCATTATATGAAATAGTGGGTTGAATTTGATTGTTTTGTTTTTCAACTGAATTACGTTACTTGATCGAGTTGAACAGGACGCGATGCATCAAGATAATCATTTACGTTGGTCGGGAAAAGAAGTCATTTACAACCGTTGCCCACTTATTCTCGTGTCCCTTCTCACGAGCATCAGAGAAAGGTCTCGAACGAGATTTTAAAACATGAGTGTTATTACTTTCTTATATATTCCTACGGTACTTAATATAGGACTTAATTATTAAGTTGATTTTGATTTTAATATAAGACTTATTTATCATATTTATTAGTTTTTTTTAAATTATTCTTATGGATATTCTCTAACCATAATCAAGTAGAAGAGGGAGGGAGGATATTAAGGAAAATGATCATGGTGTTTTAGAAAAAATATGTCATATTTCTTATAACTAATTAATTTACCTAACTTCTTTAATTTAATCAAATTAGTTAAATATGCCATATATTAAGGACCAGAGGAGTATTAAATATAGGGTAACTTTTTAATATAGGATACTTCTAGAAGTTTTACTTTATCCATGTTTTAAATCATTTCAAGACATGGGAAGAATTGTTTCTCATCGATTACTCCTAGTCTCCTATGATCCTAAATATAAGACCCTTATACTAGTATGTATAAGGGTGTTATATTTAGAACCGGAAGAGTATATTACATGATTAGTTTCTTCTATTAGACGTGTGTCCACATCAGCACTACATAAAAATTGCAATTTTTAGCTATATATAACCGGAACCAGTTTCGATCGGTTAGGAATCAGTTTAACAGTTTAACTGAAACTGATTCCATATATAATCAGTTGAACAGTGACTCCAGCTTGGATTGCGCGGGAATTTGTTGCCACTTGACAAAGATGCATATGTCAGGCAGACTAATTGTCTCTCCTCTCAAAACTAGGAACAACAAAACAAAATATGTGTTGTGCAAGTAACAATCGTGGAACAAGTAACAATCCTTGTAACGTTCTGGTTGTAAACATTGTAGCCCAAGACTTCAGAATATCCTCAATTCCTGACTATATATTGCATTAATAATTCCCTATCATCCTTCATCTTTTGTCCTCCGTCAGTGCTTTTAATCAAAAGTTGCGCGGGCATGGCCATGGTGCGAGCGCAGTTCCTAATAACGTGGGCATGCTGTTTGGTGGTGATGGTGGCTCATGTAAGAGGGCAAGAAATAGCAGGTCTTGGTGTCAACTGGGGATCACTAGCGTCACACCCACTGGATCCTCCCATTGTGGTAAATACGTTGAAGGACAACGGGGTCAAGAAGGTTAAGCTCTTCAACGCAAATTCTTGGACGCTCAATGCCTTAGCCGGCACAGACATCGAAGTCATGCTTGGAATTCCCAATGATCAGTTGAATCGCTTTGCTCGCAGCTTCCATGACGCGAAAGAGTGGGTCAAACATAATGTCTCCAAACATCTGGACAAGGGTGGGGTCAATATCAAGTAAGCAATCCATATCAGTCTCGCTCCGTCGTGTTCATATGATGAGACTCTTTCTTGCATTATGGGGAAAAAATTTACCGTGTGTTTGTTTGATTTTTTAGGTTCGTAGCGGTTGGCAATGAGCCGTTCTTGAAAAGTTTCGACGGTTCGTATCTGAAGTCCACGTTGCCGGCAATGCAGAATATTCAGGAGGCTATAGAGGATGCTGGGTTGGGAGATCAAGTCAAGGTCACTGTGCCTTTGAATGCCGACGTTTACGAATCACATTCGAACATGCCATCGGATGGGGATTTTCGCAGTGACATTCACGATCTTATGTTACAGGTAGTGCGTTTTCTTAACGACAAGAAGTCACCGTTTCTAGTCAACATATATCCCTTCCTCAGTCTATATCAATCCCAAGATTTCCCTCGAGATTTTGCATTCTTTGACGGTGGCCGAACAATTACCGACAACAACACACAATACACCAACGTGTTCGACGCAAACTTCGATACTCTCGTTTGGTCGTTGAAAAAAGCCGGTTTCCCAGACACGAAGATTGTGGTCGGAGAAGTTGGATGGCCCACGGACGGTGACAAGAATGCCAACCCCAATAACGCAAAAAGGTTCAACCAAGGATTCCTCAAGAAAATGGCAAGCAAGAAAGGGACGCCTCTACACCGAGAACCCATAGAAGCCTATTTGTTTTCGCTATTCGACGAGGACCTGAAAAGCATCGACCCAGGCAATTTCGAGCGGCACTGGGGGATTTTTCGCTTCGATGGGGTACCAAAATATGCACTGGATTTCACAGGGCAAGGACGAGACAAGATGCCAATAGGAGCAAAAGGGGTTGAGTACCAAGAACGGAAATGGTGTGTGCTGAGGAAGGAAGAGAAGGACATGAGCGAGGTGGCGAGTGCACTGAGCGATGCGTGCCAAGGTGCGGATTGTTCGAGCCTAGCACCAGGTAGTTCGTGTGGGGACGTAGACATGCCTCGCAGAGCCTCCTATGCGTTTAACCAATATTTTCAAGTGAGAGACCAAAGCGTGGATGCTTGTGATTTCAGTGGAATGGGGCAAATTGTGAGCGATGATCCATCCTCAGCAAATTGCTTATTCGCTGTAGAAATACAGAGTGGCAGTCACATGCTCAAAGCAGAGCATGTGGTGAGAGTGCTGTTGATTAATGCCTTCTTCGTCTTGTTCTTGACGTTGGTATAATTGAACGTCTTCTGTTGTGGCTCTGGCTGGCCGGCCCCGGTTTACTGATGATGCTGAGTACAAATGGGTTGACGTTTTAGCCTCAAAATTAAGCTTCCGCAAGGATGCATTGCATTATTTGAAATTGTAATTTGGGTGTACAATCATTCATTGTGAATTTGTATAAGAGTTCAGAGGATTTATTATAAAATTTACGAGGTTAGAAAAATTATTTGTGCACGACATAAAATTCAGGGATGTTATGTATAACTTAATCTGATCCAAATTTTATTATTTTATTATATATGTTCTTACGTTGTTTGATTATTGATGATTCGTTGGTATATTTTATGTCTAGTACGCGCATGGATGGAGAATTTTGGGTTTTGCATCATCGTTCTTTATCTAAATATACAATAATTTATAATCAAATTGTGTATGCAAGGTTTTACAAGGATTTCGGAAATGTCACGAACTCTTCATTTCGCCAATTAAGATTGAATTAAAAACTAGTTGAATCATCCGTAATTTTTCTAGTAGAATTTCTTTAATGAATTTTTTTTTTTGCCAAACAAAGTTTTGTCACAATAAGGGGTGTTTGGATGAAAATTAAACCATAGTTTCAAAAGTGTTTTTATAGTTTAGAAAGTAAATATATGGAGGAATTTGTTTTGTTTTGCAGAAGTACTTTTGAGAGTTGCCAAACATCCTTCAAAACGTAATTTTTCATAGTTGGTTTGATTGCGGGTCGGGTTAAAATCCATCTTCAGTCGGGTAACGGGATCAACTGTCCGCATCCTAAAACATGACTGCAGAAGGAATCAAGGCCTTTCGTCCTTCGTCGTTCTATCCGTTGTCTGCTCTAAGCCAGCGCCTGTATCAGCTCCGTCACAGTCACTGTAGTCACTGGTAAAAATTCTGTGCCTCGGTGTCGCTATATACTTGTTTCTCTTTTTCTTTTTTCCGCCCCTTGCTTATGGAGTACAGTCGAGCAAATTAGATTGTGAACCATGACTTCACTGGGTACTTTGGAAACAGCCTCTTGCTGCAGTTATAGTTTTAGTTGTTTATTATCCCCCCATCGTTGTAAAGCTTGCATTTTTAGGAATCTTGGTAAATACTTCCTCTGTTTCTGTTAAATTATCTATCAAACTACTGGTTATGGTATGTAATATGTATTGCGTGCTTGTTGATTCGTTTAATCTCTTCTTCTCTCAGTTGTTAGACCTTGATGGGTCCCTTTACACTGCCCATCATTGCTGAAGCCTCTTCCATATCATCAACAGGTAACACGGGTCACCATTACCTGATATTCATATACGGCATCATGCAGAAATTCGAATTATACCTGTGTGAGCATACCAGCTTCCAGTGAACTCAAGGATTCTCATATATTATTTGGTGGCCGGGATTATAAAGAGAGACCCTCTAACTCTAATTGCAAATGTTTGTCTCCTGTAATTGTATGAAGATGTGTGGATTTTGCCGAGTACCAAAAATGTATAAAGTTCAAATGATTGAAATTTTGGCAGTGCATATAAAAGGGACATTATAGTGGGATAAGGCTTTCTTGTTGTTGATTAGATTATTGTCTTTCACGGAATGATTTAGCAAAGAGATCACATATGGGGAAGTGGTGGGAATCTTCATTCATGTGATATTCTTGCACTGTCTTCCTCTGGATTATACTCTCCGCTTCTTGTTTGAACAGGAATATGGTTTTGCAGATGCTTGTATCAAGAGGAAACAGAAACCATTGCTGAGAAAATCTTTTGCATCAACTAGCATGGGAGAGCAAAATCCTTTTGATTTTTGCCGCACCTTATTTGGCAAGTATAACACGTCCATTGTTGTCCTATTTATAAAAATGTTCGCAGTAAATGCATTTTCTTGATGTTGGGACTTGAGACCATGTTTATTTTAAGGGAGTCCCAATGTCTGATGTGCAAAGAGAATGGTCAAAATTGTCATGTTTTGAGCCTTTCTAGGTGCTTTCCGTTTTCTGTTGTCTATTCTGGAGGATATCTCAACCTATGCCCTCAATCTTCTATTCGTCAAATAATTGAAATGATGATATATGCTTAATAGGAGTATGAAATTTTTATTTTTTAGTTCTACATCTTGAGTACTCTTTTGGACCGAATCTATGAAATAAAAACCATGAAGAACGTGGGTTGTCTAAGATGATTCTGGGTAGAAAGAACATATTTCTGTGCTCGTTCCTTTATATAAAGGGTAGGCATCCACAGTACATTTTGAAATCAATTCGAAGCACATCTGTTTTATACTGTAGGCAAAGAAAGCATGCTAAATATGTTCTCTTGAAATGAAAAGGTAGGAATTATGTGTCTGCAATAATAAATACTTCTTGAGGGAGTACAATAAGATGATATTCGTTGATTAGCTACCATTCCTTAGATATAAAGAGAGGAAAGCCCACAGCTTTTTCCAATTAGTTAATCTTTTATTTTTATTGACGCTGGTAGAATCTGATACTGATTCTTTAACAGCACTTTGATATTTCTAATGAGCGTAGGAATTTTTGCAGAGGGCTTAGTTGCTGGAGGTACAGCTGGAGTTGTTGTTGAAACAGCTTTATACCCTATTGATACTATAAAGACACGCTTGCAGGCAGGTTCCCGTGACCATAAATGATAAAAATTGGCCGTTTAGTGTTTTTACTTAAATATTTGCGGAACTCATTACTTCCTGATGCGAAATGGTGAAAATCCCGCTATTCTAGATTATAAAGGCATGGAACTAAGGGTAAGGTAAGCTGTAAGGATGTCCATAGAGAAAACATGATTAGCTAGGGATGGAACACCAGGGGGATAAACGGAGGATGCTAATGGAATTTGTTTAGATGCTTTTGTGGGCAGGAGTACGAGAGGTTGAGATTGGAATAGGCATGGAAAATGACAGAATGGTTTTGGCTGGAGATAGTTAGCATCTCAAAAGCCCAGCAGTGTCTTTGTTTTTGCTCCTCTTCATCTTTTTTCAGCTATTTCTTCTGTGTTTTACCACTGTACTTTCTGTCCTTTAAGAGCAAGTGCATTAAAATTTCTCCTTGTTTCTTTTTTCGAGTTGTTAGACTGCAATGGTAATGTTTTCTCGAGTTCGTTGGCTGGCTTCTATCACATGTTACCTTGTTTTTAATTAGCGCCAGGCTACTGGCCAGGCCAGGTTCTTGGGAAGACTTAGCCTTTCCGATGATGAGATGTCTTTGTCTACTGGCTATTAAAGATATTCATCATGAACATTTAGTTGTTTCAGTTTGTGAACCCACAATTTTATTGCTATACCGTTTATTTTTGTCGCGATCTAAATTATTCTCATTTGTCCAAATCTATAACAAATATACGTATCCTTTTGTTGCAGGCTGCCCGTGGAGGAGAAAAATTAGTGTTTGGACGCCTTTATTCTGGATTGGCAGGAAATCTTGCTGGTGTCTTACCGTGAGTATTTTCTGGAACGCACTGCAGTGCAGGATCAAGTTCGATTCTGATTGTTTGAAAGGGTGATTGGGCTTAAGATAAGACCAACTTCTGCTTTAGGATTCTCTAAACCTCAATTTCATGAGTTTTGCACAATATTTTTGTTCCTCTGCTTATCTAGATTTTTCTTTTAATGACTAAAATCAACAAAAGTAACTCCTATCCAATATCTATGCATAGTTGATGCTAGATAATGAATCGTTTTGCAGTTTTCTTTTGTTAACATTAAAGCATTGTGTTCTCTAGTTATCAAGATTCGGATTCATCAACGTTCTTTTTATAACATCGTGGAGTGACTTGTTGTCCAAAATTTGCAGGGCATCTGCTCTGTTTGTTGGAGTCTATGAACCTGTAAAGCAGACACTGTCGAGGATATTTCCAGAAAATCTGAGTGCTTTTGCTCATTTTGTAAGATACTCTTACTGAAAATTTTAACATATTTGAGATTCAATTGTCAAATTTCAGTACTTTCCCCAAAACCATTCGATATATATGCTGCTAATTTGAAACGAGACACGGACTCCTTATTGCCTCGTTTTGTCTTTAATTTCCTTAGTCTGGAAGCTGGCTAATTAGGGTCATGAAGTTTTTGGAATTTGTTTGGCCCTTACTAGAGTGGTCGCTTTATTATATTGTTGCCTGAGTATCTTTTGCTTTATGCAAAATCTTTCAATCCTTTGCTTTTAAATGAAATTATTTCATAAGGATTTTAGATTTTATATAGACTGCAGGTGCCATTGGGGGCATTGCAGCTTCCCTGATTCGTGTTCCAACAGAGGTAATGACTACCTTGTGCATAAAAATGGTATTTCCATGATTAGAAATTAGCTTCACTGGTCAACACCAATTTCATTAATGATCCTTAGGTTGTTAAACAACGCATCCAAACTGGGCAATTCACTTCGCCTGTTCTTGCTGTTCGCTATATTTCTTCTGTCGAGGGCATCAAAGGACTTTATGCGGTATGGAATCTCTCATCTTATTATCTCCTTCAGAGTTTGGATTACCTCCATTCCCATGGCATTAATTGTGCATTAAAATGTTTTTTTATGTTGATCTATGAAATTATAGGGATATGGGTCTTTTCTACTGCGGGATTTGCCCTTTGATGCTATTCAGTTTTGCATTTATGAACAGCTTCGTATAGGTTATATGTTGGCGGTAAGCCCATCAAGTTCTTTACCTGTTTGTATATGTATTGATTTAGTTTACTGATTCAATTTTCCATTCGATGTCCTGTATTTTTTTTCGTGCTCCTCTTTTGTGTTTGATGATGATGTGACTTGCATTTCCTTTTTGCCAGGCACGAAGAAATCTGAATGATCCGGAGAATGCCATCGTTGGTGCTTTCGCTGGTAATATTCTAGCCCCGTCTGTACATGCTAACATATATTTAACGTATCAATGAACTTATGCTAAAACGCGGTTAGCTAATGTAGAGATATGATATGATATTGTATGATTAGGATATGATATGATATCTCTACAGCTAACAACATTTTGATTTTAGGTGCACTGACTGGCGCTATAACTACTCCCCTTGACGTCATTAAGACGAGGTTAATGGTTCAGGTAAGATCATGCAGCTTCCTGCTACTCTAATTGTTTTCTTTGGGTTCCCCCCTCTTTTTTTCTTGGGAGGATTACCAAGTGGCTCCGTAAGCAGAGAAGACAAGGTGTGTAGTATAGTAATCATGATCCATGTGGGCTGTTAGAGTATTGGATTCAGTGCTGACCATGAGTTTCTATATTCTTCTGCAAGGGAACTGCAAACCAATACAAAGGAATCATGGATTGTGTTCAAACTGTCATCAAGGAAGAGGGACCTCAAGCTTTATTTAAGGTATGGGCTTTCTCTCCATTTTCTCCTTCACACAGTAGCTTGCGTGGTGGGCTAGCAGAATTCTGTCATTGTTATTATGGCACCACGTTTTTGCATGGAATTTGAAAGCTTTCCTTCGCGAAGTGGGTCTTATTTCTGGGAAAAATTCGAGAAAGTGGGGTGCTTCATATTTCTGTGCTCGACAAATAATTGTTTGTTTTGTGATATGGTGATTGGTGGAGTCCTTTTCCTCATCATGAAGTGGTTGGTGGAGTTATGCGTGACATCCTTGTCATGTCCATGTCTGAGAATAATCATTGTAAATATGGTATGAGTGACTTTTGTTCTTACCCGCCCAAGCAATTTCATTAATCGCCACCGACCCCCTCTTACATTTAGACTGAGGAATATCAATCATCCTACGAGTAAAATCTTGTCTGATAGTACATGTTATTATTTGTGCACTTTGCATGCATTTATTTTCTGCACCCACACGAAGAAAAAGCAATTTTAGCCTTCCTCAAATCATGCTCTCAACATTTAGTCCCGTGCAGGTTCAGATAAATTGCGACGGATCAGCAGAATCGCCCTTGAGTTTTATTAACACTTTTGAGTCTTCTCATCTACTATTTTGAACTACACAGTTTCAGTTTACTTATAAACAAGTACAGGTTAAAAAAAAAGTTGTATGATTTGATCTTGGTTTGTATGTTTGTGTTTGAGGACAGGGCATTGGGCCAAGAGTGCTATGGATAGGGATAGGTGGCTCAATCTTCTTCGGCGTTTTGGAGGGCACCAAGCGTTCTCTAGCAGAGAGGCGTCCTAATCCTCCTCCCCCCAGCTCTAACTCAAAGCTGCAGTGACCCAAAAATGTGTGATCTTGTTATATCAAACATGTTTCTTGACGGGCTATTACATCATCACACGAAATAAAAATTACGCTGAATCTGAAACGAATCATATTGCATTGGTTAATAGCTTATAAATATTATAATTTAGCATCTATTTTATATATTTATGTTAATCTTGACATGAAAATGAAGAAAGACAAAAATAGAGGCGACAAAAAAAAAACTCACATGTGATGTTGTCATACTCTTTGACGTGACCGTTTAACTAATTTATTTTTGTTTGCAAATAAATGAAAGTCAAATCTGGGGTTTTTATTGTCTCTATTGGCCACACATTTTCCACACTCGTGTTACCAGTTCCTCTCGAAACTGATTAATATATAAGGGGGGGGGGGGAAGTTTATAAATTCTAAGATATTATTCCGAATCATTAAGGCTGACATTTATCATTAATCTAGTGCCCTACCAGCAGAGAATTTTCAACGTTTCTTCCGACCAAGAGAAGAGAGTCAATTGCGTGTCAAAATACACCTCTTCCAAAGTAAAAATGAAATGGGAATAGAGGCATATTATATATACAGATATATAGCAGAAAACAAGTAACTTTGTTGATTGTGAAAATATAAATGGTAGTTGGTAGGCCAGGCCATACTGTGCATTGACTTTTAGGTACATCCTGCCTTTAGTTTAATTAGTTGATACTATTTGTTACTACATATATATCTTTCTAGTAACTTGAATTTGAAGCATAACACTAGTTTAGTCTGTCATAATGATTATTTGACGCCTTTAGTTTTTTATTTGTATAAAAAAACTTATATCACCGGCAATCAAGCCACGTCAGATCCATGATCATCTTCTACAATTTCAATCCAAACCAACCACTTACATTATAAATAAGGTTTTATATACTACCTCCGTTTCTTAATTTAAGAGTTATTTTGATATTTAATTTGGTTCTAAATATAATATTTCTATTCACTTTATTTTTCATATTTATCTATTTTTTTAAGAAATAGTTCTTGTAATGGTTGCACATATTAAATATTTCATTAAATAATAGTTACGTTTTAGCTAATATACATGATTAGTAAATATATTTTAGAAAAGATAATACCTATTTAATCCAAATAACTACGTCAACAAACTTTCTTAATCTACTTAAATTAATTAAGTAGCTTTTATATTAAGAATGGGAGGAGGTATGTTGTAATTAATAAAAATTTCTGTCAATAATCTTGTAATTTAATGCCATCCCGCATTTTTTTTTAATGGAAGAAGTTGTGTGATCAAACTCTCACATAATATAAGGGAAAGCCAGTGTGTGTGGAACTGCGATGAATGCGTGTGGATCTTCTTTTCTATGATTGTTAGGATCAAAACCATTTCCTCAGCACCATAAAATCAATTTCATGCTCAGTTAAAATATCAAAACGTATCATGAGTATGACTAACATCACCCGCGCCCCCCCCCCGGGGGGGGGAATCAATCAATGTGAGTTTAGAATCAGACAATTGACAAAAGGCAATAGAAATTTATATTTGATGTTAATATTCACTTTGACGTGTCCTTAGTTTCGGTGATCACATCAGATAGATGTGCATAAAATTATTTCAATTATCACTATTAAGCCTGCATGTTTGGAAAACGACTGAAAATAGTTCTTGTAATTTTTGAAATAGAGATATTTTTACGTACTTTGATTATAAGACCAATTATGTTTGGCGAGTGTGTATGTGTTATTTACATGAGAGGAGCCTCGCATTTGGGCGAGCAGGAGTGTTGGAATCGAAGTCCGTTTATTATTGTTAATGAGTGAAAAGTAAGTAAGGATCACTATAGCTACCGGTTTCATTTTTCTTTGACAAAGAAATAATATGATTTATTTGTTTGTACAACGTCAAAGTTTATTATTATGTCACATATAATTGCCTAGATAGCTAGAGAGAAAAATGTGTACATGGGTGACTTATAATGGCAAACATATGCAATAATAACATAGACTTTTAAGACATAATAATCCTCCTCTAGGGTGGGCCCCTTATCTCATTACCTAATTATCCTTAATACCCATCAGGACGAAAAGGATGAAAATCGGACTGTACAAGTGTTAGGCTACTATTTCGACATAAGAAATTATTCGAAAAGTGTGAGCTTAATTATGCACTAGAGATTAAAGCATTGTCTAGAATGCCACTTTTTAGGCCAACGGTTACCTGTATGGGAAAAAAAAGAAGCTAAAGCAATTATGATGACTATTAGTGCCCGATCGATGAAATATATGAGTTATTTGTGATCGATCCACCATACATTGTATTTTGATGATTGATTAATTATTCGTTGGGGACTACTTTAGTTAATAGACAGCATTATTGAAATAAATTGAATTGAATTTTTTTTAACGATGAATACAAATATATATAGAACTACTTTAGTTAAATTATATGGATGATATATATAAGCACGCATACATTCGTTCCGCGGATATATAGAGTGTGGATTACACATAGAACTCTTTAACTCAATTAACTTCCCTCAGCAAAAATAGAATCACTTTGATTTCTAAAACAGACGCAGCTTATTTGAAACTCGTTAAATGACCGGCTAAAGAGTGAAGACAGCCTTGGCAGCTTAAACATGCCCAAGCCAAAGACGTGGGAGGGAAGTCTCAGTAAATGAACATTTAAAATGATAATCATAAATTTCGTTTTCGTTGTTGAATAGGATTTTGTTGGGAAAGAAACCAAATGATAGGGTTGCTCCCTTGACGTTCAGAGAGACAGCAAACGGACAAGGTGGGGTTTTTGGGGTTTGTGAAGAAGATTGGCCCAGATGAAGATCATCTGATACATATTGATGTCTAAAGCTCACGCTGGAACCAATGACACTGCAACTATATCATGTGGGCACGCATGCCAGAATCCCCCTTTAGCAGTCGAACAATACTCAGTAATTATAATATAGCGTCTCCTTCCGGTCATTTTCACACACTTATTGTACAATTACATGAAGTCCTTTAGTCACGCTGAATTCTGATACACTTCAATACCTGTGCCTGTGAATATTCACTGACGTGATACTTTTATGCTTTTGCCGTACGTAGCTAGCTAGGGAATGTGCAGAGGTATAGATAGAGCTCACTAAAGTCACTGGTTCCAACTTGGAATATAAACCCTAAGAACTCTCCATCACTTACCCTCAACAACCCTCTCTACTTTCGCCACTCTACCCGAAGACCGTGCGCGTGTGCCTAAAAAAGCTGCATCTTTCTTTCGTTAAGAACCGAGGACTGCACCTGCTTTAATTTTGTACAGATATTCTACAGAATTTGACCCATCTGTCGTTTTCTCATCTTAAAAGTTACGTAAGATTCGTAATATTACACATACCCGACCTTGAAACCTGCTGGCCATCTAATTCATGTTAGACGCATTCTGATCATTTATATATCAAGTATGGGAAGCATATTGTTGAGAGTTATTCTGTGGGAAATTCCGGGGCACTCCAAGTTCGACGGAAAAAAGGGAAAGCTAAATAGAATAAAAGGATTGTACTCATGAACAACGGCAGACTTTATGGGATAAAATATAAAAAAATAAACGACAACATTCCGTTCTTTATACTGGTTGTCTTTAATTGGGAATGTAGAATTGTGCACAGGAAAGGAATGGCAGTGTGTTGTCACAAGGGCTTGTAAGAGACTTGGGGGGGGGGGGCATGAGTAGTCTCTGACAGAGGCAGGATCTCATAAGCTACAGACCCTTGAGGAGAGGTGCGTGGCCTAATCATTTCCTACATCTCCACACACTTTGAAGTTTGAAGTCTCTTTCACCACCCACTTAATTTCATCCATCCCTCTCTGCTTCTCCTAGATAATAATTTTCCACCTATCTTCAAATACAAAATACTTTTTAATTTGAAGTTTAATCGTAAAAGATAAATTCAAGGGCTGCTCCCAATGGAGCTGTCAGTATCCATCACCTGACCCAGAACACTCGCCTTTGTCTCTCTCAATAAATTATAAAAGACAAGAACTTGAGTTCTGATCGACCGCGCGCGGGCGGGGTATACATGGGGGGTTTCAGGATATATAAATATATAAATACTCCCACATGAATTCCAATTTTTATACAGATTAATTCATCATGACAGCTAAAAAAGAGAACAGAGAAAGAGACTGTGGGAAATAATAACTAAGAAAGAAGAACGGATTATAATTGCGAAGGAAAAGGGAAGAGAAAAGGGAAAGCAAGGTGAGCGATAAACGAGGGCCGGGATTGATGAAGGAGGTAACCTGAAAGGCATAATGGAGAGCCATAAGGACTAAGGAGAGACAAAAAGAAATGATGTGTGTTTGCCACGGGATGCTCTTTAGTTTCTCCAACTTGCTTAAGCTTTTAAACTTTAAACCGTTTAAAAGAAAAAAGCATTATATACTATCATTTAAATTTGCATCACATTAATAAACCTAATGCGGGTTTCTGTAGATGATGCAGGTTATTATTCCAGCCGTACGTCTTCCTTCTGACATCATCACTACGTTAGCCTAACGCCAGCACAAACCCTACTGACTCGATTTCAGATTTTATTACATCCTCTAAAACGTATTATAATTGCCCTTTTTTTCCCTCCCCCTTCCCGTCTTCCCAAACACTTGTTATTCCAAAAAAAGGCGCATTTTTATGAGTGAAAGATCAGAGTAACAACACCGTGAATTCATTTGAACGGTGCCTGAAGTCTGAACATTCCTGCAGAGGCGCATAAAACACATATATTCAGTTTTCTACTCTTGGATACATATTTTGCAGAGGCGCTGCGAATTAACGCAAAATGAATAATAACGCCAGTACTAAAAATTTAGGTCCATAACATTACTGCCCTTTGATTTCACCAATCATATAATCCATTATTTTCCTGTTATAGCTAGGAAACTCTATTCATCAGCTGCTTTTATTTCATTCATTAATTTCTGCAAAATGAAGCTCATCATTTTATGGAGTTAAGAAACAAGATGAAGTACAAACGCCACACAATAATTATTGAATTATGGCTTTAACTCAAGCCGGTAGATAAACAGTGATTTCAATGGCCACAATGGTCCACAAACATTCGACACACTTAACAAGTGAAAGGTGACTAACTATGATTATTAATGTTACACGCTTAATTGATCCAAGAATGACAAGCAATAATATAATAAGTTTGGGTTTGGAATTTGAGAAAAAAGCTGGTGGGTTGTGGGGTTAGTTCGAGTTTTAGAAAGCCAAATAGGAAAAGGGAGGCGAGAAAGGTAATGAGCTTTTTTGCTGCGATAAAAGTCAAATAAAGCCTCATTCATTCATCATAATGATATCCTTCCCAACGATGTGAGAGAGAGAGAGAGAGAGAGAACAGGGTGTGATATAGATAGATATGCACCCAAGATTCATCATCATTGTCCTCTGTGATTTCTTTTTGATATATATGGTGTCCCCAAAGTGATCACTTTATATTAAAACCAGCCAAAAAAAACCCTAGAAAAGTGATAGGTATATGTTTCACCCCCGCTCTCTTTTTACTCTTTAGCGGAGATTTTGTTGTGAGGATCGTGGTGAATGAATGATAATTATTTCCCCTTTCATTTTATATTTTTAATCATGAATCTGCTTCTATTATTGTGCACTCAACACAGCTTTCGCTTTTGCCCATATATTATAATTATTATCTACAGTGACCGGCTGTTGCATGGAAGTTTCATACAACTTTGCAAAGGCACCAAACTTTCTCTGTTGAGACGTTTTGTCGTGTAATGTTGACCTCCTTTGTCGCACAGTAAAATTCCACTAACCTTAAGGACATGAAATTTCCAAAGCTTTTGAGGATTAACGATACCATTATCTGCAGCTAACAGATATTAAGGCCAGCTTTAGTTGAAATTAAAAACGTTACAAAAGTCACTCCAGCTTAACTTTTTAGCATATTTTCGTCTTCCTGTTTATTATTATTTTTAAAAAAAAAAACCATATATTCTGCGATGGTGAGTTCCTGGTCTCATTTATTTTATTATATACCTGCCTAGTTTCTCACCCTTGATGATTTTATTTAAGAGGGGGTCGATGTAGGAATTCAGAAATTCGCATATATATCTTGGTAGAGAGAAAGAGAACCACAACCAGAAGGGAAAGTGGTTTTGGGAGGTTGTTAGTTAGACCTTTTCTGTTCACGGTGTAAATTCTAGCTCGCTCCTCCCCAAACCCTAGAAGAATCAAGCATCTCAGAAACAGATCGGTTCCTTCAATAAGAAAAGTCCTGTCTTTTTCGTTCGTATACTCAGCAACGTCCTTAGGCATAGCCAAAGAGATTAGAGCGAGAAAGAGATACTGATAGCTAGGAGAGAGAAAGAGAGAGAGATGTCAACAACTGCCCGATCGATTTTGAACCATGGTGGTAATTTGTTCGAGGATCAGCAGTATCTGATTCATACACAGCTGGGTTTCCTTCCCAATTTCCCGGCAAATCTGGCCTTTCCTTCTTTGGATTGCCATCAATCTTTGAAGGGCTTCCATGCTATGGGTCCTTCGCTTTCATCCGAAACAGATTCCACCACTGCAAATCTAACGGAAACCCTATTTGCAACCACAGCTCAAAAGCCAAGGCAAGACCTCGCTTCTAGCTTGGGAGGACCGACCCAACTCCTTTCCTTGAACACATCAAGTGTACTAAATCCATGGTAAAGTATTCTCACTTTAAATTTTCACATCCACCCATGCATGCCAGCTAGCTTGCTCCTATTAACTTTCTTTATCGGAAAACTCCGCAGATTGTCTGCTGTCACAAAAATCTCCAATAAGTACATGATAGTTATAAAAAGTATTTTGGAAAATCAGGTCATTAATAAGTTATAAATTATGTCAACTACTGGCCATTTGTACTGTTAAAAACTTAACAGGAAATGTTTGAAAACTATAAAATTTGGCCTTGTGTAATTAAGGAAAATTCATGATGAATATAATAAATATAGGGCATGGGGAGAAGTAAGCGAATGCTTGGGCAATAAAAGAAGTGGAGGAGAGAATAGTCATTGTTTAGGGATGTCTGCTATGAAGATGAAGAAGTTAAAGGGAAGGAGGAAGGTGAGGGAGCCTAGGTTTTGCTTCAAGACCATGAGCGATGTGGATGTCTTGGATGATGGCTACAAGTGGAGGAAGTACGGACAGAAGGTCGTCAAGAACACCCAGCACCCCAGGTTTGTGTTTGTGTTCTTATGTCTGTTCATTTCATGATATAGTCAATCTACTTTCTTCTCTTAGTTTGTTTTCCTCTAACTCGCTGAATGGCCAATGCTGATGACTGCACATCAACACACAGAAATTGAAACTTGAAAGCATACGCGCGTATATATATAATGTATTTGATATATTTGATTGGGGCTTCCATCGGTCGGTCTGTACTCCAAGATATATAATACATAGATATAGTCTCTCTCTCTCTCCCCCTTGTTATGTCTGTCTTTATTTGTTTCGTCATAATTAGTTTGCTTTGTCAAACAGGCTTTGGGATGATTTTAATCTTAGTGAATAATGCCGGGATGATTACGCTCATTAATCAAACATATTAAAGATTGGATCACTTTATAGCTGTCGAGCTCTCTAAAAATATATAGGCGAGAGTATTCTTGAATAGGAGAGGATATTGAAATGTTGACCGTGTTAAAAAGAACGAGTGATTACTAGTGAGGACCCTCTAGGCCTATGCATGACTTGAAGCATTATCAATGATAGCTTAGCTTTTTTTTTTTTTTTTTTGCAACCTTAATTAATTTTCTCGCAATAGGCCAGCTCTTAATAATTACTCTTTATTTGTGCATTAATTCAACATGTATAGAAGCTACTATCGTTGCACACAAGACAATTGCCGCGTGAAGAAGAGGGTGGAACGGTTGGCCGAGGATCCGAGGATGGTTATAACCACATACGAAGGCAGACACGTACACTCTCCCTCCAATGATCTCGAAGACTCACAAGCTCCTTCTCAGCTTACTAACTTCTTGTGGTAGCTTCGTGCGTGTTTCTCAAATTTTCTGCGTTCCAAAAAAGGGGAGAGTGAAAATTGGCAATGTATCTTCTTCTGGCAGTCATACGCCGGTGTCTCTGATTCATTTTCAGTTTTCACTCTTTTTCCATTCCCAAGTGTAAGGTGTTGTGCTTCTGTAATTTCCTGGTTTAACTACATATATATGCATGTATTTCCTCTAGTGTTTCTGTTGTCTTTTGTCCCCATATTAGAAACCAATAATACACCCACCTACATTGCAGCTAGTAACTTCTGTAAGCTGTCCCAGCTGCCCTCTTCTTATTTATAATGCTGCCCTTGTGTGTGTGTGTGTGTTTTTTTTTGTGTTTGTGTTGATGCTTTACCACTTCGAGCTTCAGCTTTAATCCATTTGAAATGTGAACCAAATCACCAATTAAGTATTAAAAAAACCCACTCAGATCTCATTGTGAGATGTCTATTTTAACTGGATCCACACTTCGGATGCATTTAGTTTCATGTTGGAGAAACTAAAAATACAAATAAGAAATTCATCACGCAGATTAAAAATCTTAGCGGCCGACACATGCATTTTTTTCGGCGGAATTCAACATGTACCGCGTTATTATATATAAACAGTATATATTTTGATTTTTTTTTAATATTTCACACTTATTATAAATTAAAATAAGGGGATTGTGAAACTCTTTTTTTTTTTTTTGCCCAACCAAAATGCAAAGAAGACAACTATTGGTGAAAAATCAAGAATTCAAGATTCAAGAGGTTTTTTTTCTTGGGCCAAAAGGACTCAAGAGTTTGGAAAATGACACGCATGGGTAAAGAGAGAAAAAGGTGAAAAGGGTTTTTGGGCAAAAGTTAACATGTGATCTGTCCATCCGCTGAGGAGCAGGTAACAATGCAGAGTCCACTTGGACCCTTTCCTATCATCCAGTTTTGGACTAGATCACTAAACTGTCCCTCGTGAAGTTATTAAATGACCAAGCTTATGCGAAAAGCTATGCTGTGGGTCAAGTACTTGGAGCCCTGGGCCGTTAAGAGCGTCATTCCAATTTTGTTTTCTGCGGCGGTCCATATTTCGTGCATCAGGGGATCCAACTCACGAGACATCAAAATTACCGCCACTTATGGTTAATAAGCATGACAACCAACGCCAAGTGTTTTTTTATTTTTTTTTTGGGGCAAGATCAGCTCAAGAGTGACCCGATGCAACCGAGAGTCCATTTCGGCACTGATATTTGATGGGAGAATGAAAGGAGGGGGAATGGCGAATGTGGAAGGAAGCTGTGTTGGGAATGGCATAGATGCAAATGCGGTGATGAGGAACTAAAGAGAAGCAAAGAGGAAAGCAGCCTGTTGGGTGGCATTTGGAATTAGAGGTGCGCTTTCAAAGTTAATTACAAAAAAGACAGGCACGTGAGGTCAGACCTCCCCTGCATGTTTCTCTGTTTATTTTAAGCCCAACCAGCTGCCGTGTTGACGGATAAATCTTACACTTGGGAGTTTGAACGCAATGGAATATATAGAAAGAAATGGAGGAACACACACCCCCGCCCCGTCCACCTCAGAATACGAGGATCAAACGTAGCATAAGAATAATGCTAGGATAGGAGACCCAGCACGTGCTCCCTCGTGACCTCCACCTTCACTCGTCTCTGCAGTTCAAGGTTATGGCTCAGTAAAACCAAGCTAAAAAGTAAAAGCCCTGATTTGTTGCTTAATTAAGTTGGCAAATTATATATATAAATGAAGCAGTTTGAGGGGTGAGGGTGTGAAAGTGCTTATTAGGGTGTCATCAGAAACGGGGGACGACAGGGAGTGTGAGGGGCGGGGAATGGGAAAACGTGAAGGATGATGACTGAGTTGAATGGAAGAGGTGCACGCGCAGATCGAAGGACGGATGAGGAAGCCCTCAACGCTTATGGTGGGAACCGTTGTTTGAATCACAATCACCCTTACTTTACCTACCATTTACGCATTATCTTTCTTGATCATCCATCCAAACCCAACCCCATTACATCACTAACGTTAACTTGAATCTTCCCCCACAACCATTATAGCAGCGCGCATTTAGCACCCACGCCTCACCTTCTGCTGCCCACATGTCCCACGTGCGCACTCCTCCCCCTACCCTCCTCCCCCGCCTTCTATTGCTTTCATTCTTGTTTCCTCCCCCTCCTCAATTATCACATTCTTTTTCATACAGCTTCTTCTCGCGACTAAAGTGATGGGTGAACCAAATTCTCTGCTGGGGCTGTCCACGTTCTCTATTGACCCTCACAGCGACGGATAGCATCAGAAGTAAAGACTGAGGAGAGACTGTGTCTGATTAATCAGCGTGAATGACCAATCACGGGCCGTACATGTGTTGCGTACTTATTATTAATTAATAATAATTATTGTATGGTTATTATAAATAAAGCGTGGAGGGGAGTACGGGAGGCTATTATTCCCCTGCCCCTGCCCCTGCCCCTGCCCCTGACTCGTGAACATGGCCCCCTCCCCTCTCCTCACTCCTGCTTCTGCGTCCAACATGTCTTGTCCGCACGCTAACTCGGGACCCCTTCTCTCTGAAACATATACCAATTTATGACGCCTCCTTGAATGATTGAGATATTAAAGAAACCAGGTGCAGCCGAACCTGAATAATGTATCTGAATTCTGATGTGATCAATTGGGTGGCTCATTCATATGATGATGCTTCTGTTGACTTCATCCCTGCTGCCACACGGTGTTGTAGTGGCCCAGACCTTCGTTCCGTTACGGGGGCGAGTAGCAGCGTTTAAAGGTGTTTTCAACCAAAAAAAAAATGGAGGTGGCAGAGTCAATTAAGGCCGGACCCGAAAGCGACGGTGTCGTACCGCAAAGACGACGACGGGGGATAAGATTTCAGACACAGTCAGGTGGCCCGGTGGCCCACGTGTCACGCCTCCGCATGTGGCTGGGAATGTGCGAACCACGCGAATCTCAAACCCCCCCTCCTTCTCATTTCCTCCCCCTCCCCTCCTCATCAGTCACTTCTAGGCTCGACCGCCATTCATATGGTCCTTCCCCTCCCTCTCCCACTTTTCTTTTCATCTGCTTATCAGCCCCTTTAAACAGCCTAAACTTCACGTGCAAATCCACTTTCTTTATTCAAGTTGCTCCCGTTTAGTTATTTGAGACGACAAGTCGGATCTTTTCTTTTTTGATTGCATATAGGCCTTCGTATACAAGTGGCGTGAAGATTCTGAATTGCAATTAATGAAAAGTGGTGTGCTGTGCTGAACTAACAGTGTGAGGAACTTTGAGTAGAGCATATTGCACAACCCAAGTCGATAAAGATTCTCTATAAATTAGATTCACAGCGTCAGGAAAAATAAAGAAAAAGGTCAAGTGAGGCTTCAGTTTGATTTTCCTAAAACCTGATTGATTTCTATTGCCTCGCGTAATTGTGGGGGAAGAGTATTAATTGAAGCAGAAGTCTTGTATTGCTATTCTATAACTATAACGCCTCCCTCTCCGCGCGCGTGTGTGTGTGGGATTATATTATGGGGTAGATTCAAAGACAAACATGGATGATAATAATAAGGGATAATTAATCTCCAGGTCCTTATAGTTTCATCTGATTTTTAATTGGGTCCTTATAAAAATTTTCCTTTTTATCAAATCTTTTTACTTTCGTGTGTTTTTAATTAGGTCCTTTTTTTATTTTTCTTTTTATCAGGTCCTTATAGTTTCACTTATTTTTTAATTAGGTGCTTTGTAGTTTTTGAAAAATTATTTATTAACTTTATTCTTTAAAATTAATTTCATTTTTAAATTAATAATTATATAATTGGACAAAATAATTAATATAATCATTTAGTAATTAATAAATAATCAGAATAATAATTATACTTAAATATAAATTATTTATAATCATATTTTAATTTTAGAAAAATTATTTTTATAATTTGAATTTTATAATTTTAAAAATTTGAATTGAAAATAAATAATATATTTTTTAACTAAAAATTTAAAAGAATATTAACATAAGATTGTTACAATAATTTCTTATTTTTAAAATGTTATTATTTGTAAAATAAAGAATAAAATAAAAACTACAAGGACCTAATTAAAAACAAAGTAAAACAATAAGGACTTGATAAAAAGAAAAAAAATTATAAGGACTTGATTAAAAATATAAAAGTATAAGGATCTGATAAAAAAAAAATTATAGAGACCTGATTAAAAACCAGTTCAAACTATAAAGACTTATATTAATTATCCCTAATAATAATAATACTGAGCATGTTGCGTGGGTGGGGTAATTAAATCCCATTACGTACTACTGTATGTACTTTCAAAAAATACATCAGCGGTGGAATATACATCTAATCTAATGACAGATCAGAGGACACGGAGGCGTTCCCAACTGGTGCAGAGCTGTAACCCGGACAATAGAACAAGAAAAGACAGGACATCCATAAAATAATGAGAGATACAAATAAAACTAGCTGGGAGAAGAGAGATAACACAACAATATTAATGACACTAATACGTTACTCTGAAATAGTGAAACCTGCAGGACAGATGTGGATCGGCAATTAATAGCTGTGAGGAGGGAACCTTGAGCTTCAAAATATTCGAACGCAGCAGTTTACCAACTTCTCCACGATATACTTTAAAAAGTACTCATTTCCTTCGTTTTAAAAAACAAGTAAATATGGAAGTGACTTGCTTTGTTTTGTTAAAGGAAATGTCAAACAAGAGTTGTTGTCCCTGAAGCGCACATGGTGATTGTAATTATGCCAGAACAATGAGAATCGAGCAATATATAATACAACGTTTGTCACCGTGTGAGGCAAACGATTCGTCATTGTTAATTTATAGATACGGGCTAATCGATAAGAGTCAAAATTAGGTGGCCACCACATCGCACATTTTCCCAGTCACAGAAACGAATAATATAATTCACCAGGTCCCATGGTCCAGATGACCAGATCACATGCTAAAGCACGCATGGTCAAGAAACGGACAAGATGCACTCATTTCCTACCCTTTCTCCGAATCAAAAAGACGAGTTGAAGATTCTTGATAGTTGATAGTTAAGAAAACACTACAATATTTATTTGTTTGCGTGGTACAGGGTATTGACCGTCCCAAATGCTTCTGAAAGATCACACTTGTCGCGGAAATCAGCGAGTATTATATAAAGCGCTTGGCATCTTTCTCGTCCTAGTCTCTCTCAACTGGCAGAGTCATGTGTAGATCCGCATGGTATGTTTGAATTGGCAAAGAGGCAAAGAAAAAGGGTAAAACAAGCAGAGCGTCAGGGTGCAAACGGGTCAAGGAGACAGCAGGATCCATCAAAGGAAAGGACATGCCGCGAGAGAAGCGGTGTGCTCCCTACAGGTGAAGAGCTCTAATCAAAACCATGAACTCAGAACAACATGAAAGAGTCGAGGGAACGGGTTTCTTAATCAAGACACCTACGTTTCGGTCGTTCAAGGACATTTCTTGACATATTATGTACCAAATTGGAGGAAATGTAGTTGGAAAAACGGGGGGCAAGCAAATCGAACGGCTGGAACAAAGGTCCAAAAGATAGTTCACTTACTCACCGTCACTGGAGTCGTAAGATGCAGGGGCCCTTCTCCGGGATTATTTGAGCCGTGAATACATTCAAAATCTAGGCAACAAAGACGGCAAGGAAACAACGGGAGCTGTTCGTGTTTATATAAAATAAGAATTTATCTCAGTTTGAGCCACTGATTATGTATAAAACAACAATATTACTTACATCAAATGGTACAAACACAGGCAATTCCCACTTTTACTCATTTCCTCTTTTCCGAAATAATGGGAACTGATCAAGAAGGAAATTTTTTTTGGGGGGGGGGGGGGGGGTAGCTGATGTCATCAGCTACTGCTTCTTTCGTCCTTCTCCCCAAAGAATTCTTGCCTACTGCTTGCTGCTTAATTCAGGGATCTCTTTTATGCTCATATCTACCATTTCCATGGCGCCAAATCCACCATCCTCGCTCGTGATGGTAGACTGGGAATCCATCCCAGATCCTGCTTGGATTTCCTTGAACATCGCCATCACTTGAATCATTGTTGGGCGCCGCAGAGGTCGATCATCAAGACAAGCACAGGCAACTCTTAAGTGTTGTAAAAGTTCAATCTCAAGACTCGGATCCTCTTTCATGAGCTCTGGGTCAAAAACATCACTTATTTTTAATTTAGCATGCTGTTTAACCCATCCCACAAGATTGTTATCACCAAAGTCTGATGAATCCGTGGGTCGTTTCCCTGTCAGCAGCTCCAATAAAACTACACCGTAACTATAAACATCACCTTTAGTAGAGCACCTAAAGCTCTGGTAGTATTCAGGAGGAACATAACCCGGGGTGCCTGCTAGTGTGCTGACACTTAAATGGGTGTCCATAGCACTCATGAGCCTAGCCATTCCAAAATCGGAGACTCTGGCTTCCAGATTCCCATCAAGCAACACATTGCTTGATTTCATGTCTCTGTGAATTATATGAGGATTGCAATTGTGGTGAAGAAAAGCCAATCCCCTGGCAGCTCCAATTGCAATCTTCCTCCTGGCTGCCCAGTTCAGCTTTATCCCGGCTTTCTTCTGATCATGCAAAACATCCTCTAGGCTTCCATATTTCATGTACTCATAAACCAAGAGTCTTTCTTCTCCAACTTTGCAGTATCCGAGAAGGGGAACAAGGTTCCGATGCTTAATTTTCCCGATGGTTTCCATTTCAGCGGTGAATTCCCTGTCCCCTTGTCCGCTGATATGAATCAGTTTCTTAATCGCCACAACACTTCCATCTTTCAACTGAGCCTTATATACATCTCCAAAACCACCTTTACCAATAAGACTGTCATTGTGGAAACCATTTGTGGCTTCAAGGAGGTCGGCAAAAGTAAGCTTCCGAAGGGGCTTCTCGAAAGTTGCAAGATTTATGCTAAGGGCTTCACGGGCACTCACCTTCCAACCAGCATTAGCTGTACCTGAGTGAGACCTGCTGTCGATGTAGACGTCCAGGGCAGCCTCCTTCTTCTTCCTTCTCTTTCTTGACTCGAAGGCGATTATAATTAGACCAAGGATGCAAAAGAGTGCGAACAGCAATCCAATGGACACACTCCTCACCAGAGATGCCCGTCTCTGGTTAGACCTCTGATGCCGGGCATCTGCACTTGATCTCGAGTCTGATCCACATAAAGCAAGAGGGACACCACAGAGACCAGAATTATTTGCAAATTTGGCAGCTGGAAAGGTATCAAATTGACCAGATTCAGGAATCAATCCTGAGAGATTGTTGTTTGACATATCAATTTCCGTGAGCATGGACATGCCTGTCAGCGATTGAGGAATCTGTCCTTCAAGCCGATTGTTGGAGAGGTCAAGAATGTTGAGATTTTTCATGTCTCCGAATTCCGGTGGGATGTTCCCGGATAAATTGTTGTATCCCAAGTTCAGAATAAACAAAGTGTTCATACTCCCCATCTCCTTGGGTAGAGTACCCGACAACATATTATGCGAAATGTCCAAAAAAATCATAGAACCACTACTAAATTTGGGACGGGCCTTACCATTATAAACTCGAGTGAAGCTAGTGAAATTGCAAGGGCTCCTGGTTGAAATTCTGCCCATCTGCTCCAGACTAATGCCAGCAAACTCTAGCAAATTTCCTGCTCCATGGCACTGCTTACTACCGTCGGTCTTGATGTACACATATGTCTTTCGACTGATGAAATTAACTTCAATTTTGCCCGACTGCTTAAACAACTCAGGAGGAATTGATCCACTCAGATAATTTGTATTCAGATCCAACCATATCAATCTTTGACAATCCCCAAGCTCCGGCGGAATCCTCCCAGAGAAGGAGTTATTACTCAATTTCAAGATCGCAAGATTCGAAAGCTGACCAATCCATGCCGGAATCTCCCCACTCAACCTGTTATTAGACAAGGACAACCAATTCATGCTGGTGCAGTTGCTTAAGCCAGAAGGAATGGTCCCAGATAGCTCATTGAAGTCCAGAATCAAATTCTCTAGAGTCTTAATGTGCTTAAGCTCTTGGGGTATTTCTCCATGGAGCCGGTTCAGCCAAAGAATCAAATCTTTGAGTTTTGAAAGGGACCCAAAGCTGGAAGGGATAGTCCCCGTCAAGTAGTTGAAACTCAAATCCAAAGCCACAAGCTGGGAACAGTTGCTGAGTGCGGGTGGAATAGAACCTGTCAACAAATTATTCTGCAGGTATAATTCTTTCAAATTATTCCTCGGATCGTCACAGAGCCCTCCAGGAACTGAACCACTGAGGTTATTGGAGCTCAGATCCAACGACTCCAACGTCGAGAACTGAGACAGAGTATGAGGCAGGGTACCGGTGAAGTCATTGAAGGAAAGAACCAGCCTCTTCAAGCCACTCAATTCTGCGAAAAAATCAATCGGAAGTTCACCGGTGAACTTGTTGTTGGATATATCAAAGGTTTCTAATGAAGAGCAAGCCCTGAAATCGGTTGGAAGAACACCGGAAAGGTTGTTTAAGGAAAGATCGAGTACTACCAGGGTGGGGCACAAGTCAGAAAGGCCAGCAGGAATCTGTCCCCGAAAATGGTTGTCGGCGAGATGTAAGTACTGCAGAGAACCAGATGGAAGCGAAGGAACAGGACCGGAGAACTGGTTGCTTGAGATGTTCAAGAAGGTGAGCTGCTTGCAACTGGACAGGGCGCGACCAATGTCACCGTAAAACTTGTTTGCAGAGATGTCGAGGTACTCTAAAGCCAGACACTCACCCAAAGAAGGAACAGCGAGGGAGAAATTGTTAGAGGAAAGGTCCAGATGCTGCAAAGCTTTGCAAGTCGAAAAGTTTGTTTCCCCAGTGATTTTGTTGCCCTTTAGAGACAAGAGCTTCATGTCGTCGCAGCCCTGTGATAAGATCCATGGGAGAACGTTGGGACCCGACATCTTATTGTTGTAAGAGAGATCGAGAACCTGGAGACTGAGCCTCAACCCGGTTGAATCTCTGCCAGAAAATTCTAGGAGGTTACCTGAAAGGTTGACAGCTTTCAGGGCCGAACAAGAGGACAGGTAGTTCAAGGACGAAACCGGGCCAGACAAACTGTTCTGAGATAGATCTAAGGAGCTCAGTGAGTTGCCACACCTGGAGCCGGCCGAGAAAGAAATGGCGCCGGAAAGATTGGTGGCTTGCAGATTAAGGACTTGCAGGTGGTCGAGGGAGAGTAGATAGGTAGAGACAAGGCTGAAATTAGTGTTCAAGGGGACCCGGCTGAGGTCTACGGAAGAAACGAGGGTATCCCGGCAGGAAACATGAATGAAGGAACAGGGACTGTGATTAGGGAGCCAGCTGGGGAGAAGGGAGGGGTCAGGAAGGGAATTCTTGAAGGCGAGAAGCTGGCGGGTTTCGTCTATGAAAGCTGAAGAAGCAGAGGATGAGGGAGGAGGTTGGAGGGAGAGAAGAGCTAGGGAGAACAAGAGGAAGAAAGAGCGATGAGGGTTGGCGGGAGAGAAGGGTTTCATCTTGTGAAGCATAGAGAGATAGACAGAGAGAGAGTGGGTAGCTTTTTTTCCTTAGGGCATGAGGTCTGCCATTAGAGGGAGAGAGCAGAAGCTCTGGTAAACACTGTAGAGGGAGAAAGTGATTTGAGTGATGAAGATTAGAGAAAGAGAAAGTGAGGAAGAGGAATAGAGGATGATGGGGGGCCAGGGGAGTCAAAAGTCCGAGTAAACAATGTAACCAGGGTACTTATCAGAGGCGAAGCCAGCAGACACACCCGTTGCTCCCAGTCACATGCTTGTTAATTTTTCTTGCCGATTTTTAGTTAATTTAAACATTAATGTTCTCCTTTTGGCTCTCAAATCCATCTCCTTCCCTCAAAATTATTACCCGCCAGTATTTAATTTTAATTTAATGTTTGAGCAATCAGTCTCTCTCTCTCTAAGCAAAATTGTCAGTTTGTTCTCTCTTGCTTTCCGCGTTCGTGCGACGAAGCATTGATCCGTCGCCATCAATTAATGGAGATTCCGTCTCTTAATTAATCGGGATCTCCTCCTCACGAGGGTCTTAATTAAGTTATTGGCCACCCTTTTTTTTTCAAAACTTTCATCGCTTTCCCCGCGCCGCCCCTCTTTTTCGGGGATTAATTAATGCACTTTAAACAGTAGGAGAGCAGGCTAAAACGAGCACGCCCTCATGCTTCTTCCCGTGTGCCCTCCTCACAAGCCAGTGTCCTTGAACAAAAAAAAAAAAGGTTAATATTCTCATTTTAATATTGTGTTTTCAGTGAGTTTTGTGAAAGGCAGCGCAAAAAGAGGAGAGGACCGAGTACGAAGACTGAAATAGTAAGCTAATGATTTTGTTGCAAAGTGACAAGATAGAGAATATGAGAGTGTGAGCGAGCGTGCATGGGACGGTAGTGCTTAATTATGGCACTCCAATTCCCAATCACTGGATGCTCATTATATCCACATGAAAAACTTTTAGTTAAACATCCGTGTCCACTTTTACTTTTGTCTCCCATTATTATTACGCCTGTAGTAAAATATGAAAGATTAATCCATATAATCTGTTCCTGAACTGTCAATATCTTTTACCATCATTGATTAGTAGAGTAAACACAACGAAATAGTTATGTATTTAGGTGGTGAGAGATAGTTTTAATGGATTATTGATGATGGGGTCACTGTTTTGAAGGCAGGCATATAGATTCTTTTGAAGGATATTCAGCAGTTTTTACAGTTATTAGATCTGCTGAATCGGCACAGGGGAAAGGTGAATCTTTTGCTGACGACACCGCCTGCTTTACTTCACTCAAGTGATTTCTCCCCCCACTTCCAGTCTTCTATCGTGGCTTCCATTATTTCCCACTCAAATGCCTACTCCCTCTTATCATCATCCCCTCCTCCTCTTTACTGAACCAAGTCAAAGACCCGACCAAAATTTTTAATATATATAGAGTATATGTAGATATAAACCTGCTTTCCAAGAGTAACGTTTATAATATTTTAATGTGTGTGGGAGTCTGTAGTTAGACAAAAATATTCAACCTCTCTTCCGGTCAAACGCGAGGGGTTGATTTTCAACGTCTGCAGATGACATCATACGTGAATAACGTAGCATGTAAATAAATAGTTTTGGTCCAACCCATTTATAAGAAGGACGTTATGTTAAAAGGCGGGAGATGGAAGAGAACAAAGACGAGAGCACCAAAAAAAAAAAAAGAATCAAGTTATTTCTTTTAATTTATTTTTCTCATCGCGTGTTTACCTTGATATGTTTGGGCTTGGGAGGGTATGGCAAATTAGGGATTATTTTGATGTTCTTTCACTGTCTAGTTGGAAAATTTTAGCAGAATTTGAGCAAATTTTTTTTCATGAAATTTTTTTTCATTCCCTTCAAAACTCAATTGATTCACAGAAGTACTAAATTTCATCCTCTTCAGCTGAACTAAACATGACAACATTAAAATATCCTCCATCCCTTCCATAAATTTTATCACATTCACTCCCCCCCCCCAAAGAAAAAAAAAACCAAACACCGTGTTTAAATCTTGTTTGTTTCGATTCATCGCGCTTTTTTGGAAAAATTACTTCCTCCTTGAAAATTCATAACCAAGCCGATTGTTTCTTTTTTTTTAATCTATTAGAAAGGTTGGAATTATGTTTTTAAAATAAGTATATTATTCTTTTAATGTTCAAGACAGGAAAACCCTTTTTTATTTAAATCTTGGCTTTTGACTTGGATTTTTCAACAAGAAGCGTGCTTTTGTTTTTTATTTTTATTGTTAAAAAAATAAAATGAATTAGGTTTTTAATTAAACAAATTAAACAATAAAATAAATAGCAATGATAAATAGTGATAATATAACTATAAAAAGTAGTCTAATAATAATGAAATACTACTACAAATCAAACAGGACTTTCTATAACCAACTGGAACAAAGTGCAAGGCAGAAAAAGTTTTAGTATTAAATACAGAGTTAATACAAACTTTGATCCTTCAAGTTTATCTTAATTTTAGTTTTGGTATTTTAAATTTTAAACTACAAGTTTTAGTCCGTCAAGCATATTTTTATTGAAAACATTAGCCCCCTATAATCCAATAAAAACTTAAACTATGTTGCTCGTTAAGGGACCAAAACTTATGATTTTAAATTTAAGGAACTAAAATCAAAATTAGGATAAATTTGAGATATCAAAATTTTATTAACCCTTTAAACATATAAGTTAGTTTTATTCGGTAAAGTATTTCCGTGCCTGTTCACAAGATTTCATCAATAGCAATACTCGTATCCTGGAGCAAGTAAAACAAGTGAGAATGAAGCATAACTTTCCTCCTTTTTCCCTGGTTTTGTTCTGTTAAAAAATAAAAAATAACAATTAAATCGAATGGTTTTGTTCTGTTAAAAAATAAAAAATAACAATTAAATTGACGACCTTCTTAACTATTTTTGATTGACTTCACCTATTTACGATCAAAATTTGTCTGATAAGATCACTCAAAAAATCTTTGTCTGATGAGGTAATTTTACCAATGAATTGATACGGTTCAATTATTTAATACAATCAGTGCCAGTACCACCATTATTTTTGTTTATTTTTTGTTTTTAGTGGACTAACGCGTCGAACGGATTTCATGCGCTTGTAGTATACTAGTATTGGTTTTTACGCTGGGAAAGAGGGAGAGGTGGGCCCAAGATGGATGGGGGGAGCAGGCGATGGGAATGAATAAAATGGGCACTGAAAATGAAGGAGAAAGCAGAAAGAAGAGAAGAGAAGAAAAACTAAGAAAAATTGAAGAGAAAGAAAATGATGATGAGGGTGATGATTATGATGTGGAGGGACCTCCATGCAATCAACACGTGCGGTTGTCCATCACGTTGACGTGGCCCAATCAACTTTAACCATCCGCCTCCGGTCCCTCCCTTTCACCCTCCTCCTTACCGACACGTTGGCCAACCCCTCACTCTTCCACCACGCCCACATTTATTTCCGCCCCTTTCATCTCCCCATATCGCATTATTCGTAATAAACCAGAAAATCTATATTATTTTATTAGTGACAACTTTATCAAGACATAATAATTTCATAATCATTCACTAACGATAGTCTAACATATATATGGATATAAATAAAATATTTCCCCACAGAAATTATGCAATTTGTGATTAAAAAAATTGGCAACATTCCATATTTTAATTAAAAGTATGATTATTATATCATTTTTTTCCTGGAAAACATCAGCCAGTTGAAATAACTGTTGCCTCAGAAAGCAAACATGACACATAGGGCTAGTTTGACGGAACATGGTTATCTTCTTTCTAGAAGATTTTGGGCCGGTCAAGGTTAGGCCCAGTTATGTGGTAAGGGAGGGGTAACCCGGATGTGAAATTACACCGGATTAAAAGACGAGCGTAAACTCGTATAATTGGACCGACCGGCACGACTAACAGGAGATTTAAATAGGGTGGGCCCGGGAAATATTACAGAGAACGACGGCAGAGAGGGAAGGCGGGTCCCACACCGGAGTTGGTCGTTCTTTGCACGAAATAAGGAGTACAATAAAAGAGATGAAATGAGAATGACAATGAATGCCGCACGAGAGCAAAGGGGGAAGACGATTGGCGCGTGACAACGACGTCGTTGCGATGCAGGGAGCGGAGCCTTTCATACAGCTCTCAGCTTCCTTCTCAATCAACAGCAATATGTCAACATGTACCTACGATTAAATTTGTGGTAAGGCTTTTATAAAAAAAATTATAATATTTGTACTATTCAGTCTCCTATTATAAGATCTGATTTTTTGAACGAATTTGTTCCTTTTTATAAGATCATCTTTGAATTTGTCTAAACATTTAATTTATTATTACTTATTTTATCTTTAATTTAATACATTTAATATGTTTTTTTTCATTTATCTCACTATTACTCTCACATTTATCCGTTTATATATAGGTGTATATTTGAAAAAAAAATTACATTTATTATATATTAATTATTTTTAACTATTTTTAACCGTTTTCTTAAACTGCACAATTTACTTAAAAGAATTTTATGATAAGGGACGGAGGGAGTATCATCTAGAGGCTATTACGTATCATATAAGTTTTTTTATATTAGGTTCCCTATGATGCCTAAAAATTATGTATTATTGTTATTCATTTATCTCACTATTATTCTCACATTTACCTGTTTATATATAGGGATATATTTGAAAAAAAATTACATTTATTATATATTGATTATTTCAAACTAATTTTAACTGTTTTCTTAATCAATACAATTTATTTAAAAGAATTCTATAGTGAGGGACACAGGGAGTATCATCTAGATAGAGGCTATTATGTATCATATAAATTTTTTTATATTAGGTTCCATGCGATGCCTAAAAATTACGTATTATTGTTTTACATTTATCCGGGAATCGGTTTTGAACGTGACACATTAACAGTCTTATCTATCCCCGGTAATCATGTCAAACATGATGTTCCGAAGGGCGCTTGGTCCTAGCCGAAATAGCGAAATGTTAGGCCAAGGGCGGTATGGGTTACTAATTGACCACTGTTATAGGACAGAATGAGGATGATAAATTGCAGGAAGCGGGCCCCACGCCACCTCCGTTGTGACATAACATTACTCTTGTCGTTTTATTTTTATTATTTTATGTGCAAAAGTTTTTTTTTTTTTTGGGGGATGCTAACCATAGT